ATTTTGGGGGCCCCCTATGTCAAGAGGCCCAAAATGGTTTTTGGTTGCCCTCCCAGGTTCAACGGGAAACCAACAGGACCCGCTCATTTTCAGGCGTCTGAAGCTACAGATCGGGGTTGTCAAAGCCCGGCTTCCGTGAAAAGGGCTCCGCCATTGAGTGAAGCACTTTGGTATGGAGCCTGATCCTGGCTAAGCCCCTTCGGTCTTTCCCAGCAACCCTTTTTCTTTGACCTTCAGTTCAAGGTTGAAAAGCTGTCGCCAATAAGTCGGTGTTTTCCAGTTGTGGCCTGGAAGAACCCAATGCTGAAGGCGTTTGCAAATAGAAGTTCCCCATACTTCCCATAGTTCTCTATGAATGTCTCATATTTCCCCAGTTCAGTTCCCCACAAGTTCCACAGAACATTTCCCGACATCTTGTGTATGTGACATGGCTCATGCCACTATAACCATTTTTTCCTTTGACCCCAAGCTGTCAGCACTGCCCTTTTCGGAGGTGCTATAGTTTTGGAAGGGGGACTCATTGTCCGTCGGTTCTAGGAGCCTTGCACTGACCAGATTAGGCACCTCAATGTTCTTTTCTCAGCAAGTTTTTCTGGAGAGGGCATCGCGAAAGGGGTCACGTACACTTGAATCTGCCTGGCAAATTATTTTGGGTGACAATTTTAGTGTCAAGCAAACATATGCAGGACTTTTTTTGGCCAATCCACTCGAAGGGAAGTGAGACAAGAAGGACAAAAGTCACTTCTATTGAGAGTATGTTTTTGGGCTCAGTCAGGAACTGGTCACTGCCAGGGAAAGGCCAAATGAAGTTAAGTAGAGGTCGGGCCGAGCAGTTTGGTAGAACTTGCTGGTGCTCAGTAGGGAATTACCTTCTGGGTGTTGCGAATGAACCCAGGGATTCTAAGAAACACATAGGGGATGTTTTTGTTTCTTTTTCGGTCAGTCCATCTCTCATTCCCCGCCTATCGAACCAGCAAGAGAATTGGGCACCCAAGATGGGCACCACTTTCTCTCGGAATCCCTTTCCAACAGCAAAGTCGTGTTCCAACCAAAGCCCCGACGATGTTGAACCCCTCCCCCGCCGGTGGATGCTGGATTTTGTTAGATCAACCAACACCAACACCAGGGTCTTCCGAATAGAATTGTGCTTTTTGGAATACAACTTGTTCAATATAAGAAAAAGACATGTTGGGGTCAACATGTGGACACTGTTAGTTAGATGGGGGAAGGGTTCACGTTCCATGTTTCGGCAAGCCTTCTTTGACCGTCAGGCAGACCCATTGAAGGGCTTTCGCCAAACATTTCGCCGATTTTTGTTAGATATGTCGGCCCTGGATGTGTTTTGCCAAATGCTTGTTTCAAAAAGGGCTGCTCGGGGTTGGCCGAAGTTTGCTGATTTGGTTAGGGCAAGTGGGATGGCTAATGTTGACCCCCTATTAATCAACCCCGGGTTTACTGGGGATTGAGACCGCTTTTGGAGGGGCCAAAAACCACCCATGAATAAGCTGGGGTTGATTACTATGAGCTCCACATGAGTGATAGATTCACTAAAAAACATGAACTGGAAAGTCTCCTTCAAAGTTATGCTAAAATGAACTGACTCAGACACTCGCGGGATTCATTGCTTACCTCGCGGGCTGGGGCTGTCGAAGTTTGCTCGACCGCTGGAATTCTTTGGCTCAGCATTTTCCGTGACCTTCTCAGGTTGGAGCCTCAGGTTCTCGCTTGTTGACTGCTATTGGGCAACGGATCTTTAGACTTTCACTTTTTGGTTAAAATCAAGTTGGGTTTGCCACTAACCCCCCCCCCCCCAAAGTGAAACTTTTTGCAGGGGGGTCAACGGCAACCAAGAGTTTTTGGCTGGTGCTTGGGTCGCATGCCATAAACACATACATACGTACCTCACATCATATTTACGTGAGAATGCATGACATCACAATACATCACATACATGAATGCGTGCAGACATACGTGCATACGTATGTGCGCACATACAAAGATACATGGAATCATCCAGCACATTAGCTTACATTACATCACATTCATGCATACATGCCTACTTACATGAGTACATACATACACACATGCATACATACATACATACATACATACATACATACATACATACTTACATACACTTACATACATTTACATACGCGTACTCACATACATACGTACATACATGCATTCATACATACATACATACATACATACACACATGCATACATACATGCATGCATGCATACATACATACACATAGAAACATACGTATATACACATACATTCACTGACACACATGCGCACATGCGCATATGCACATATGCAGACACACATACATACATACATACGTACGTACGTGCACAGACATACACACATACACGCATACACATATACAAATGCACAACTACACAAATACATACACACACCCACACATACATACGTACACACATACATACACGCATACGCATTTGTGTTCACACGCACCACGCATTTACACATATTCATACGCACACGCATGCACATACGCGTTCGTACAATTACATACACATGCATGCAAATACATAGCTTCATACACACATGAGACGCATGTTTTGCAAAGTTTCTGAGACTCCGCCGGCATGGGAAGCTAGATTGAAGAGGCAGGTACGGCATTGGCTTACTGCTGTCTTTGAATGAGCTTTTTGTGCCGGTGCCTGTTTTTGCATCCCTGAGCTGGGACGAGCGAGACCGTCTCGAGGATGCTGGAGAGAAAGGGAGAGAGAGAGAGAGATGCACACATGCACATGCACATGCACATACACATGCAGACAGACCTACATACTTACATAATACATCCATGCATACATTCATGCACCCACACGAATACTTACATCCGCGCACATACGCATACGTACATACACCACGCATGCATACATGCATACATGCATACCTGCATATGCATACACTTACAAGCATGTTTGCATACGCATACACACATATGCACAGGTATACATACATAGGGATGCATATACATACATGTACATACGTATGCAAATACACACATGTGCACACTATACATACATCTAGATCATCTAAACACATATGTACACATATCCATGCATAAACATTTGTCAACATGCGTTTACATACATGTACATGCATACTCATACAGCAGTTCACACACATATTCACCCGTGCATACATACATGCATACATACATACACATACATACATGCATGCATGCATGCATGCATGCATGCATGTACAAGCACAGGTACTCAGATACACAATTACACAGATGCACCTACGCATAGATACACATAAATACAGATACACAGAAACAGAAACAGACAGGCAGGCAGACAGACAGCCCGGCAGACTGAGTGACTGACAGACAGAGAGACAGACACACAGACAGACAGTCAGGCAGCCAGGCAGACACACACACACAAACTGACATACACGCGCACGTACTGCATGCCTTCATAGATACCAAATCGTTGTGTATTTCCAGGTGGTTGAAAGACCTTGAGGCTGTGAATGGAACAAACACGTGTCGTTTGCCCGAGGTAAGGCGTTATAGTTGACTGGACAGCTGGCTGCTTTTGATCGGTATTTGTAATCATCTTAGTCAAGGGCTAAGAAGTTTGTATACTCCTTTTTTGGCCAGTGAGCTCAGGTCAGACTTGTGATCGAGTTCCAAATTTGCTTCTAAACAAAATGCATGCTCAGCATGTCGTTCACAAAGTAGGTGCGTTCCAGAGGGGGGTAGATATAAAACAGGATTCATTGGCAAATGGAATTTGCGGAGTGAACGAGATCCTTGACCAAATGGAAATCCTTCAGTCATCCTCCCCTAGGTCACATGTCTGAAGCTTCCGCAAGGTGGTCCTTGACGCTTCCCTTCAACACCAACCAAGGTTCCCTTGTCAATTTTGCTGGCATCTGGAGACAACTCCAAGAAACAAGCAGGGATGCAAGGGTTCGCAAGAGAAATTTGGGGCTGGCTTACCGGCCACAAGACTTTTCCCTTGTTCTAGTGGGCCTTTGGTCTGGGCTCCAAGCATATCTCCCTTTTTGCGGGTTCCAAAGTCAGCTTTCAAAAGCCCAAGTCGTGTGGGAGTTTTAGGAATACAAAGGCAAACCAACCAGGACTACCGCTTTTGGTTCCGTCTCGACACTCAGGTGTTTCCAGGGAATCCCTATGGCTGCTGAAGGGTTTCCCTTTGACTGGGTTTTGAATACAAACTTCTGGCTGAGCCTTTTCTTTTGTTTAACCAATGAGCCTCTTTTTGTGTTCCCAGTCACTCGCAGAATGTGGGTGCGCACTGTTTTCCCCTAAGGCAGTGAGTCAGTCAGTTAGACCCCAGCCCCCACTCTGAGAATGTTAGCTTCTGAATCCACTTTCAACTCTTTTGTTGCTAGGCAGTTGCAACCAACTCAACAGTTGCCGGTTTTGTTCCTCTGAGGTCACGCGCCAACGCCTATTTTTTTGCCCAGCGCTGCCTTTCCGCGCAATGCGCCCCGGCGGGAGCGTGGAGTGGACCCCTGGGCCCACTGGATGCCTGCGGCATGCGTGCTTCCCAAGCGTCCTCGTTTTCGGCGGTCTCAGGGCATAGTTGGGAAACGGGTAAAATGAGCAGTTCTTTCTGGATTCCATCCTTTTGCTTAAGAACTTTTTTTTAATTCCCCTGTTGGTTTTTAGAGGGAATCTTTTACTACTGGGAATATATATTTTCTAGGGCGCTTGAGCAAATGGAGGATTCGGGAGGGGAAGACCACTTGGTTGACATCACTGCTGCTGGAACCGCATCGAGCATATGTTTGTCCAGTTCTCTCGGGTAGCTGGGCTTGCTTGTTGCCACTTGGCGCATGGTAGGTGAGCTGGGCGAGTACTCTCTACGAACCTTCTTTTGGCTGAAAGACAGATGATAAGATACGGTTTTTCCGCGTGTGTCAAAGTTCCAAGGGCAAAGGGTACCTCACTTCCGATCCGGCTGGTCGAAAAGTTCAATCTGGGTGTTTGCAACCCAAATGAGTGTGTCGTTTTTTAGGCTCCCCCCTCCCACCCAAATGGTGAGTTTCTTTTTTGGTTCCCTTTAAGCCCACCAACGAAAGGAGGTGCCCTCAAAAAAGGCACCCAAATGGTTTTCCAAACAAATTGTTCGAGTCCGGGAACTGGTAAGTGAAGGAGTACGCAAGTGAAGGAGTACGCCTGCTTTCCCTTTGGTTTCCTTCATTCTCAGACTGGACCCGTATCGGATAAATATGCAACTCACTCCCTGGTTTGGACTGGAACTATACTTTCTGGGTGACCGTTTCTACTGTGGATGGAGGAAATCCATTTCGCACCACCTGAGCAACTATGGTCGAAGTTTGTTGGCACGGGGGAATCATTCCGTTGGGTTTCTGAATGACGCGAAACACATGGGATTTCGCGTCCACAGTTGTTGACTTGTGACCTGAGCCCAAACATCTTCCACCATAGGCGAAAAGGCAGGGGTTGGTGGAGCCGGTTTTTTGCTCAGAGAGGATTGTTCGCGGAGGAATCGCTATGGGTTGGGCCAACCTTGGGCTGCATGCAACCTGGGTTCATCCCCACCCTCTAATAGAATTGGGGGAGGGGATTGGTTCCATTTGTCCTTTGTGGGGAAGACGAATGGAGTTCGGGGACGGAGGGTTCCACTCCAAGGACCGCGCAGTGCGAGGACCCCCGCCAGAGGATGCTGCCCGCGTTCTCTGGCACAGCCAGCGCCGATGGCGGCGCCGGCCCCGAACGCATTTGGGAGGAGAACAGCGGTATGGCGATGTCACTATGACCCACGTGGATCCCTATACCTAAAGCCAGCGAAATGTTTTTGTGGATCCCAAAAAACCCTAAAGCCAGCGAAATCGTCTGTGGATCCCAAGAAACCTAAAGCCAGCGGAAAATTCTCGGCGCGCTGCTTTAGAGGATGATCCCTCTAAAGCAGGCGGTGTTCAGATGTGTCTTTTGGCGGTCCTCGCTCGTTTCATCCTGCAACACGCACATGGACAATCAATGGGCATGGCGGTTCCCCTCAAGCGCATAAAACTTAAGAATGTTGGAGGATCTTTCTAAACTGGACCCAGCCCACCTGCCCGAAACCTGAGAAACCAATTCCTTGATCCCCACTAATTAGTCTTGGAGCTTGCACCCAGCACTCCTTCCCCAGCAACAGGCTTAATTCGCAAATCCCCCTTTGGATGGAAATCATGAACGCCACCTCAGATTCGGGGCCCTACTCTTGATAGACATTGCCAGACAAGGTTCGAAAGTGACCTGTTTCAGAGCCAAGCGGTTTTGCCGGGATTGCCTTCAATTTTCTGTGTCGAGGAGGTCAACAAGGGCAAATATAATGCGAGATGTGTTGCCTTTGCTGGTTAAAACCCGGTGCCCCATCAATTTCTGAAGTTGTAACCGCCTGACTAAGTGGGCTTGGGAAGCACCCTCCCCACGGTGCCTGGCTTCAGGTAGGGGCCTTTTTAAGGATACACCCAAAACTCACGAGAGATGCATGTACAAACACTTTTGAAACCGACGGTAGGTGTCTTTGTTAGCATGTGAACTGCTTGCATTGGTCCCCCCGATTTGGTTCAAAGCCTGGCTCACTGTTGTCTCGTACGTGACCGGGGCGGGTCTTCGAAGAGGTGTCCTTTCACAGGTCAATTTCCCAGAGGCCAGCAGGGGGTGGTTTGAGTTTTTTGCGCAACCATGTGTTTTCGTTTGTTTCGTTTGCAACAACGTCCATTTGCTTATCAATATGTGTTTTATTTGTCCTTGTTGGTTTTAAAAGGGAAGTTATCACTACTGGACACATTGTTTTGTATTTTTTTCCCGGAGGTCTTATCCAAATGATAGTGTTGTATTTTACCTGTTGGTTTTAAAGGGAATCTCTCACTAGGGAATCCCCCCAATGCTTCAGGATGCGGAATCGGCGTTGAGTCACTCCCGCGGCCTGAGAGTTGAGTTGAGTGCCAGGAGCAGGAAGAGAAGGGCAAGCTAGTGCGCCTGCGTCCGATTTCAGCGGCAAGCTTCCGTCCAAACCTTCCCCTTGGTGCGCTTTGGATCTTGGGACTTTAACTTCTTGCCAACTAATGAATTGGTTTTCCATTAAACCACTAAAAGTTAAACTTTTAGCAGGGGAGTTCTTGCAGAGGGTAAATGGGAAGCCACCTCCGAACCAATCCAAGCTCAACTAGGGGGAGGCTGATACGAGGGGCGGTACCCTTCTAACAACCATGGAAAAGGACAGGACGCCTGAACAAGTTGGCAGTCAGAGAACCGCTCGGTGGTGGCGCAAGTCCAACTGGATGTTTGGTCGCCAAACCGGATTAGTTCAAGTTGACTTGGATCTGAAAATCCGGATCTTGAGTTTACCCCAGAATGGGGCCACTGGTTCGTTGCCAATTGGCCCACGTCAACTCATCGGGGTTCTCGTGGCTCGCCGATTTCGCTCGGATCCTTCGCTTTGACTTCGGTGGCCCCCGGCTCCAAAGTCCCCGGGCTTGGACATCCAGACCCTTGGCTTGGAGTCAGGTAACCCGTCGGTCTGAGGATTGATTTGGGTTTTCTGGGCTTGGGGGCTCCAGCCATTTGCTTAGCCTTTTAGGTCGTTTGGGTTGCAGCAGGAGGCCTGGGGGCAGGTAATTTTTTTTCAGTGGGGTCCAACGCTTCCATCACTGACCAAGCGTGCTGAGGAACATTGAGGGGCCGTGCTTCTGCAAGTTCCTAGTGCCCAACCACATTGCGGGCGCCCTCATCGGCGCCGTGGCTGGCTGAGCCCGGTGGTTCGGATTGGGGGTACCAGGAGGGGTTACCACTTGGTACTTCGCACCCACACGGAACGGCGCGGTTCTGAATGGAAGGCGGGTTTATATTTTATCCAACCCCTGGTTGTTTTTTTTTGGGGGTCGTCCCTTTTACTGAAACACCGCCCCCCGTTTCACTACATTCCTCAAGGGGGCTCGCTTGTTTCCCAAAGTCCTTTGAGGGAACCAAGTAATTTCGACCATGACTCCTTTGACAGCGTCCACAAAAGGATACGGTCGGGCAAGTTTCAAAAAGCAGGCGGGAACCCTGTGTAACGGAGCAGGCAAGTTCACTAGAGACTCCACTGAGTCAGGGGCACAAGTTTGGGATGACGGACTACTACTTGGGTTTCGTAGTTTGCCCAGATTTACCCCCCCTGCATTGGAATTGGGCACGGGGGGAACTCTTGGAGTTGCATTGGTAGTGTCATTGTCTATAGGAGAAGCCTCGAAACAATGGAATTGGGGGACCCCGCTGGCCTCCCAAATCCATTCCCTTGGGCCTGAGTACAACCTCAACTGCTTGCGGGGACAACCCCTTGCCGCCTGAAGTGGAGGCCTCGGGTGGCGAAATCAATTTTCGGAGGGGTGTTGCCGTGATGATGTGCGTGTTGGATTAGCAAGCTTGAACTGTTTGGTTTGCCGGTTGCTTCATGGAAAACGGTGTTTCACGGTTTTGGGCTGATTCATGGGGACCAAGTCAGATGGGTTTGCGCACAAGTCGCCACAGATCTGTTTTTTTCTTTTTTTTTTTCTTTTTTTTTTTTTTTTTTCGAGTTTTGCTGATACGACCCGACAGGTTCAACCACCACCGTTTGATCAAAGTTCAAGCGGAGAAAGGAACCGGATCCAAGTGCTCCGGGGCCAGAAACCAAATAGCAAATGTTCAAACCATGCAGCTTACCCTCCTACCAACTAACACGGAAGTGCAAAAGGGCCCTTTCCAAAAGGAAAGTGGTCTTTCTGCAGGGGTCTGTGCACTTCCATGTTAGCTGGTGGGAGGGTAAATGAATTGTGTTTCTTTTTTTATGGTTGGACCCCACAATGATTATTTTGTTGCTGTTGGTTCGTGAGTGAACCAACCCCGAAAAGGGTACCTGCAAAAAAAGACACCCAAATTGTGTCAACCACCTCCTGGGTCCTCTTTTTTCCTGCACGGGAAACTGTGTGTCTACTTGACCCATTTCTTTTGTGGCATGATGTTGGTGTTTACGCTCCAATTTGTTGCGTTTCACCCGTTTCACCCACTTCTCTAGGGGTAGCTTCCCCATTCTTTTCAGGGATCCTTCTTTCTAGTAAACCACGAAACACCCTGGGGAAACGGCAGGTTTTTGAAAAGAGCGGTGGCCAAAAAGAATGGAACAGGAATCAACCCCTGTTGATGGAAGTAGCATGATGTTGGTGTTTACTCCAATTTGTTTCGTTTCGCCCGTTTCACCCACCTCTTCTTGGCTCGAGGAAAGGAGGGCACCATGATCGGGGAGATCGAGCTGCTCTCCAAGTGCCGCATGCAGATCTCGGGGGCGAAGGCGCACTTTCCAGGCACCCAGGATCGCATCTGCATCGCGGCTCGGGTGGAAAGCACCGGGGCACCCCCCGGGGCGGCAATCGCTGAGTGTCTCACTCCCCGAGCTCATGGACTTGATCTTTTTTTCTTTTTGCGGCAATCTTGGTGGTCAATAAGTGTGGACTTTTTGCGCAAGTCCACTCAGGAAGTGGAGGTTTGGAGTTTTTGCAAGTAGAAAAAGATAACAATTAATGGGACGTCACAGTTTGTTCACTTTCAGTTCTTCCCAAAGGGCCCACTTGGGAACTTGAAGCGGCTCGCTTGGCCACACTGCCATGGTTTGGTTGGCAATTTGGGTTGGGCAAAATGTGGCCATGGTTCATAGAGGTCGTAATCAAGGGTTGGCCGAACCATGCTGGGCATGAAGCTGTACTTAACAGTGTGGGACCAGATTCCCAAAAGTACAGAACCGCTCTTGGAGTGTAAAGCGGTCCCCCTTAATGTTGTTTCCAAAAAAGGAGGTTGTTGGAACAGTGCTTCAAACAGCCACGAAGGCAGGGCAAGAGTTGTCCTATGCTTGGCATTCCTGAGGAGGGGCGGGCCGAATCAGCTCAGGCCAAAATCGCGGTGCCTTGCTAAATCACCAATGCTCATTTAGGATTCAGCAAGAGCTTTGAGGGAGGGAGGTTTGCGCATGAAGGGTTTGCGGAGGCATGCGGAGAGCTTTTCCTCGGTAGTTCCAATCGTTGGCCTATTGGTGCAGATATTCAGAGGCACGAAGTATTTGCCAAGGGCATTGGATAGATAACAGCTGCCGATCCACAATAATTCATTCGATGCCTTTTCGCTTATGGCCGCCTACAAATTCGGTAACTGTTTTGGATTGGTGGTTTGGGGGTAGTGCACTCGAACCTGGACACAATCGGGCCCGAGAAAAAGCCGACAAAGGGCCGGCTTTGTGCAAAAACTACAAGCCAATCAAGGCTTGGCAGGCGTGAACCCGGCACACATTGGCTAGGTTTACACACCCCTTTACCAACCATCAGCGTCCAAGTGGTTTTGTTTTTTCCTGCTTGTGGCTTGTGTATTCGCTTCGCCGCAAAAGAAAGCTACGGGACAGGGAATGAGGACATGGGGTTCCGTTGGTGGGAAACCCTTTCGCCTCTTTGCTTTGAGTGAGCATGTACGAGCGATTTCCAGAAGGGGTCTAACCACGGGTACTCTCAAAGCATTCACGCAGATAGGGGCGGTCATCCACACACTTTTCAGCAACCAGGGGCCCCGGCTTTTTTCTCAAACCCATCGTTTTTGGCACCTCGGATGTACTTTTGACATCCGGGCGAAGCAAACCAGCAAAGCGTTTGGCAGCAAGAGGCTCGCTCCCCTTCTGGTACGCGCCCCGGCCGGTCGTAACTGATTTTTTTGATGCTGAGGTGGGTGGCCACGACCAAGAGCGGTTGAAGAGCGCCATGACCTTGATCATCCAGAAGATCCGGGGATCGCAGCAGCTCGGCGCACGGCGCCGATTTTTCGACCATTTGGGGGCGGGCCCCTTCCAGGGCGCGGGCGCGCCGATGCCGCACCCTGAGCTTCTGCTTCTGCGAGACTTTTCATGGGGGGGCGTCTTTTTGTGAGGGTACCCTTTGTGGGGTGGCTTGCCTTTGACTCCCTCTAACACAACCACCAAAAGTGTACCCTCAAAGAAAGACAATCCCTTATGACACAAGAGAGCGAGAGAGAGAAACGAAGAATGGTAAACAACATTGAATGATACAACCTGCAAAAGCAACGCAATTGTGAAGGGAGACCCAAGGGGTGATCCGTTGAATGGGTTCTAACCCCATCCCACTCCCTGAGTCAACGGACTTTGAACGTTTTGCGACCGGTGCTGTGGCAAACAAAGAGTTCAGCGCTTTCGGACTGTGCACAGGAAGTGAGTTGTCCTTGGTGCATGGGATCCCTGTTTCTTACAGGCCTTGTCAAAGGGTCGCAGGAGGGTCCCTTTGACTTCCATTTGCCGAAAAATGTGTCTTAATCGCCTGGTTCCTTGTGTTTAAAGTGAACCCATCACCACTGGACATATTGTTCCCCAGGGGGCTTGCGCACATGTGAGAACATTAGCCAGGTGTCTCCCCAATCTCGCAAAAAGCTCATCGAATTCCTTGCAGTTCTGAATTGGGAACTTTATGAGTTGCATTTCCTCTTGGTGGTGGTTTCCTCCTTCGCGGTTTTCTTTTGGATGATCCAGCGGTTGGGTGGATCCAGCTCGGTCCCCCGTGATCTTGGCAATCAGACGCCGGCCATGTGGACCTTTTGTGGCCCACCTTCAAGGCAATCCAAAAGGGGTCCCGACTTCAGATAACCTAGTAGAATGAGCTCGCCTGCATTCTGTTTACTCCCGGTTTAAACCCCACAACACAATATGCATAATATGCTTGTGCTATCTATGTATATGTAGAGCTACATAGATATATCAGCAGCATATGTCTTCAGGATTGATGATTGACTTTCTGGAGTCGGTTCGAATCAGGTGAACCGAGTTGCTTTGCTGAGGAACAAGGTCAAGAAGATGGTTTTGAAGCTGGTTGTGCCCATGTCTGCGGCAAGCACCATCATCGGTCGCCGTGGTGAGGCCTTGCCACGCGCAAAGCATTCGAGGGAAGGGGTATGGGACACATAGCTGGCTGGGCTTAAGGGACGAAACAAGCAGGGAAGCATTTACCCACTTACAGCACCAACGAGCAAACGAGCAACATGGAGGTGTCCAATCGCCAGCCAGATGGTCTCAGTGGAGGAAGTTGTGTTGTTTTTCATCGAGGCGTCCAGATGAATCTGAGAAGCTCAGGCACAGGGAAAGTGGCACTCAGATCTTCGGGTGGGGGGCCAAATCCATTTTGGGTCAACGTGCATGACCTTTCTCGCCCTATGGCCTTTGTCCAGGCCATCCAGGAAATGCAGGCAGTCACGGAGTGCCGGATGAACATGAGCCCGCGCATCGAGGGCTTTCAGGACAGATCATCTGATGGATCCATGGCGCATCGATGGGTTGCCGTTTTTTGTGTTTGTTTGTTTTTTTTGCGGGGCGAGCCACTTTGGCTGAGGTTGTCGTTGTTCATGGGGTGCTGCGACCACGGTCACTGGGCAGCTGGGGTTGGGGACGCCCGGGACGCCCTCCAAAGGAAAGGAATCTACAAGGGACCTCTCGAAGACAAGGTTCTATCATGGACCCTCAAAAAAGTGCTGAAGTCAAAACCGGCCCAAGGGGCCGAAAGTGGCAGTTGGCCTTGGGCCTCCCTTTCAAACCATGCGGCCGGATTTTTGTTTGTTTAAGTGTTGTTTGTTTGTTTTTTTAATGTTGTTTTTTTCTCATGTGTTTTTCAGTGTTTATTTTTTGTTGTTAATGTTTTTTATCCTCCGCGTTTGCTTTTGACTTGTTTCTTACTTTTGAGGTTCGCTGAATGTCCAGTTGTGGGCAGCTCGGGCACGGCATCTGTTGCTCGGAGGGTTGCCGCCAGGAGCGGCTGCTGACCATGACGGGAGACGAAGGCGCGCTGAAGAGCTGCGCCACTCGCCACAAGCCGAGGTCCAACTTGGCTCCTTTCAGACATGTGGGTCAAAACCAATGGGATCCCATTTTGGGTAGGTGAATTCACAACCCATTTTAGAACCTATTTTAGTGGGGATTGGGATGTTCACCCAATGTGGGTATGGGTCAAAATTCAACCACCCGGATATGGACCGCAGGTTCTCTGGTCCATGTTTCCATTTACCAGGGCAAGCCATTTTGGGTACATATTTTTAACCCACAGCCACATCGCCTTGTTGGCGCGTTTAAATGTCGTTGCCTCCAGATGACGTGATGTTGAATAAGGACTTATATGTTTATAGGGACCTCTCATTGGTTCATGAGAGGGTTTTTCGGGAACGGTTCCGCTCATGCTTTCGCTTCCTTACTTAGGGATGTATTTCTAATTTCAGGTGATCCCTTACAGGTTTCGGATCTGTATTTGCAGATTCCCGCATGACCCTTGTTACTTCATAGGTTTAGTCACCTCACCCGATATCCAAATCTTGGAGCCTTAGGGGCAAACTCTGGCGACCCTTCTGTTCCATTCTTAGGCTTGATATTTGTTTGGATTGTTTTCAGGTTTGCGTTAGGTGAGGGTTCAGGATTTGGGTTTTACTCTGGCTTCATGTTGGGATTCCAATTCACCGGTGTGCCTCAATGGATATTCAGATATTCAATCTCCCTGCAGTGTCCTGCAAGTTGGATCATGAAACCGTGCTATGAGTAGTCGGACTGTGGGAATGAACCCAAGGATTCCCTTGAAGGACAGCAGTTGCATGGTTTTGCTCGGGGTCCTGTTTATCATTCCTCACTTCCTGAGTTCATGAACTTTAAACTTTTTGGGAAGACCATTTTAGTGGAAAATAAAAAGTTCAAACTTTTTTTGGCCAACCCACTCGATACGGGAGATTCACTGCTGAGCACCACCAAAAAAAAGGATTCGTTTGTTTTCCTGTTGAGGGTTTCCCCTTTTTCCCATTTACAGGCGTTTCGAAGATATCGGATTTCTACCCCCCCGCAAAACCCCTGCCAAAAAAGGACCCTGAGACGGCATCATGGCCTATGAAGAAACCGGGAGATGGACTCCTCCGTGGCTCAAAGCCGACCTTTTGACCTTTTGGTTTCCTCTTTGGCAACCATTTTGAGTAGTGCCAACAGATTCACCCTATTTCGGGGTACTTTGGGCAAGTGAGAATCATGAGTTAGGGTTACCACCCCCCTCAAAACGGTGACCGGCCATATGCAGCAAGCCCCGGTTGCCAAGCAGGGGTGGGCAATAATTGTGTCCAAGCTGCTCTAGTTTGAAGCGTCCTTTCTCTCACTTTAGAAGCTTCTGGGCGTATTTTTTGGAAAGACGAATTTAGAGTTACACAAAAAGCACGCACTGGTGTAGGGCCATCTGAAGAGAGAACCTCTGTTTGCTGGATCAAATGGGACTGGGTTTGCCAGGGCCTGGGTATAAGACAGAAATGCGCAACCAGGCCTAAGCTGTGTGATGCTTGTGAAGCTTGGCGCTCCTTAGTGCCCCACAGATGTTCCGCCCCCATGTCACCATGGGAATTGCAAAAGGATGGCTCAACATGTGTACTTGTGTAAAAAACAACAGGAACACCGAGACCCGGTCCCTATTTTGAGACAACCTCTCAAGTGCATGGCACCCTCCCACCAATCAACACGGAACCTGATAGGGCATCCCTTCAAATCTTCCAGGATCCCTGTCAGGTTCCATGTGAATTGTTCATTGGTGGCATGTGGCAGTGGCTGAAAAAGATGCCCCCAAAATGTCCTCGTGGTAAATGGAAACAAAGACTAAACCCTGCGGTTTGCCCCAGCTCGTTCATTTTGAGCGACACCCATGTTAATCCGCCAAGCTTGGTGTCTCACTATGGGTAAGGTTTCATGTTAATTTGCCATTGGTGGCATTGTAATTCGCCATCCTTGGTGTCCCACTAGGTTCTGTCCACATGTTCCATCTTAATTGGTCATTGGTGGCATGGTAATTCGGCCACCAAGGTCCTAAGGTGTCTCACTACTGTGGATAGACGAAATCCTGCACCACCTAAGAAACCCTGGAATGATGATTCCAATGTAAGTACCAACAAACGGTATGGTTTCAACCATGGTTTCTTAGGTGGTGCGATTTCTGGATTTCGCAACCATCCACTGGGTAAGGTGCTGAAAATGGTGGAGAAGATTCAGGACGACGTCCATCTCAAGGCGCACGAGCCCGGAAAAAAACTGGGCACGATGTGCCTTGCTTGAAATTGTCTGAAATGAATACTTGTTTTTATCGTGTTGTTTTTTCTTCCCTGTTTCTGTTGGTTTTAAGGGGAAACCAATTTACTGCTTGAAGTATTTTTTTTCTAGGCCTCAAGCAAATGGAAGCTTGTTTGTCGTGAATATCCCAGCCACTGATGTGCCGAGCTCGGGCATTTCAGTTGTTGCTTGGCCAATGGCATTTCAAGCAAGGGGCGGGCACACAATAAACAGTATTGGAGCAGCTACGCACCCCTCCCCCCCCAAGGTCCCCGATGTTGCTTGATTTGAGCTCGCAGGCTGTAGAGTTTTGACTGCTGTAGTGTTGAAACCATGTGCGTAGCAGACAAGCAGACATACACAGGCGTCCAGTCAATCAATGCTACCAGTGAGGTATGAAAGCATTTCCTCGAAAAGAAGATGTTCAAGCAGACATGTATCAACAGGTAGACATGCTAGAAGCCCCTGGAAATTCCAGAAACTGGATCAGCCCAAGGACAAAAAAGGTACTCCTTGCACAACGCGAACTAGAAGGCGTGTGGCCAAGGAAAACAGCACATTTTGCCGCACACAAGCTGAGTATTTTTGTGCAGTGTGTTTGCGCAAATTATTTGAGCAAGCTTCTTTGCACAAGTTTTCTGAGCAAAAGAACACATTTGGTTCCTTTTGCAGACAAAGACATGCATGTTTTCCATGTTCAAGAATTATAATTGCCATGAATTGCCCAGGAAAGCTTTCTCCACAGTCTGGACTCCAGGAAACAAAGAAACAACATAGAGTTGATTTAAGACTAGACAGCAAGCAATCCATTGCAACAACGGCATCAAACACACGTTCCAGGCAAGATGCAGACATGCCAGACCGCACGGAAATTATGGAAATCAGACACGGAACCAACAAAGGAAACTTGGATATCCCTGGAACAGAAAGAACAACACGGTTTTCCTGGATTCAAGAATCACAATTGCCCAGGAACTATGTTGCCACAATCCTGACTCCAGAAACAAAAGATATTCAAGCTTGCCCATGCCAATGGCTTGAAAGCATATGTTTGTTGACTTGCCCCTTGAAATGATGACTGCTGAATTTAAACGTCGCAATCCAGTCAATATTTAGATCCAAGATCCTGTATTTCCATTTTGTAGATCTATTCCCCACCATTGTCTTGGTATGTAACACGGCTTGGCCCATGCCTTGTGCCGGGCCATGAAGAGTTGGTTTCTATTTTGGAGTTTGGAGCTGGTGATGCTGCGAATGCTCGAGGGCTGGTGTCATTTTGGGCTGGCCTTTGGAAGGATGGTCGCTTGAGATGATGCTGGGGATGCAATCCAGAGATGGGCATCTCGAGGAAGAAGCGCGAGGCAGGTCTGACGGGCGAAGGCCTCGCAATCCGAAAGGGACTTGCTTCCTCACACTTTCCTCAAGTTGTTCAATGCCCTTTCTGAGCATGTACCAAAAACCAGTACCCGTCTCCACTCTGTGGAACCGGGACAGGGACAGCGAACCAGTCAGAGCCCTTTCCGAACTCTTATGCATAAGTAACTTTCCGGAAGGGAAGGGTGTCCCCGCATAGCTGCCAGAACTTGGAGGAGCACATGTGCATGGCGTTGTACGAGGGGGACACATCTTTTGTTGGTGTTTCGGGCTTTTTCCAAAAGAAACTAAAGGCCCATAGGTGTCCTGGTTGACCTGGTTTCATAGCTACCAGGGAACTGCATCTATTTTCTTTCAATGGACACCTACAAACCTTAATCCATAGGGGTGCGTTGTTTTTGTCTTGTTTTTTCTTCTTTCTTTTGGGGGGGGGGGATGCTCTTGTGACTTTAGAAGTAGAACCAAAATCCATCTTGGGGGCTCCAACCGAAAAAATGAAAAGAAAATAACCATCCAGGCGAGCCATGCGCAGGAGCATATGTACCTGGCCTACGACAAGGAGCTGCCGCAGGGCTCCTGGAGCGGGGAACGTACCGAGCCTTTGGACCCCAACTGCCCGTTGATTCCGCCCGCCGAGCTGCAGGCGGAAGCTCTCGCCTGGGCTCGGATGTTTGATCGGGATTTGTTGTTCTTTTTTCGGGGGCGACCGGCGTCGGTTGCTTTTCTTTCTTTTTTGTTTTCCGTTTGGTTTTGTTGTTCCCGTGGGTTGTTGGTTCGGTTTGGTGACTGGACAGGAACCAACCGGAAACCTGTTTCGTTTTGCTTTTTGTTGGTTAGTCTTGGTGACTGAAACCAACCAGACACGTGTTGGAATTGTTGTTTTTTCGTGTTTGGTTCTGTGACAGGGACCAACCAGAAGAAGGTACCTTCAACGACACGACACGCCCAACATCTTCCTTGCTTTGAGGATGGTGGGGGGTATTTCGGATTGTTTTTGGTGTTTGGGGAGGATAGAGGGCTTTCGTACGATTTTAGTGTTTGGTACTTACATGTTGGTATACACATGCTCTTTTCGGTAGGACTTGTTTGCAGCTGAAATTGTTGGATGATTTTTGCAGGGGGCGCTTTGTGGCAGGCTGTTGGGTAGACGGTGGGGTTGCTTTCCTTTTATTTTACTTGACCAGGGGCCAACTCAAACACCATTTGGTTGCCATGTTTAGGCTTTCTTGGATGTTTAAACGGGTCATGTAACGAACAAGGAAGCCTGTCTTACATGGCAAGGGGAAGTGAAGGAAGCATAGTGGAAATTGTTGGCGAACAAGTTGGCACAGGGGGCTTCCATTTGCTTAAGAATATGTGTTATTTTCCCTTGTCGGTTTTAAGCTGGGAATCCATTCCTACCGGACATATTTTATATTCTTCCCGACTTCAGCAAACGGAAGGGGGGAGATGTGTGGTTCTCCTTTGGTTTCCCAAGGCCAGGGTTCTGGTCGTGGCGATTTGTTCATCGCCCACTCCGGGCCTGAGGGCCCGGATATTGGTCCCGCGGAGGTTTGGGAGAAGCCGCCGGAACGAAAACTGGGGCACTTGGAAAAGAGAAGTGGGGGAGCTGAAAAGGGGGCTCAAAAAAAACACCGAACAGCTTTTTGAGCCCAGATGGTTCAACGGAAACGCCGAAAGAAGCGAAAGCTTTTTGAGACCAGGTGCTTCAACGGGACATCGCGAATTTCTCGGAGAAAGGAAGGCTGACCGCCAGAGATATGTGGGTGCATGTGTTTTTTAATTGGAGGCTACCCTTTTCGGGTTGTTTTTTTTTCGGTCGGACAGCCGGGCTCTCCAGTTTGGGGTAACAAAAAATCGACCGCCGGACTCCCAAGGGCTAGCGCCTGTGCGCATTGGAAGCTTCGGTGTTAAAGCGCTCGACCTGTCAAAGAAACAAACGTCACTGGATTGATTCGATTTTTTAAGTGTCAATACCAAGAAACAACGGGTTTCAAGCGTGTGATTTCAAAGTGGACAGTCTGGGACATGGTTTTGAGGACATCTATCATGTATTGGATCCCACTATCTTGCAACTCCCAAGCGTGAATGGGCGGGTTTTCTCCGATTTGCCTGTGAAATGGCACACCCCATTATGGATCAACCTGAACTGTGCGTGCGTGGGTGTGTTTGAGGGTCCACTTTGAAGGTGGGTTGAAAGGGATATCAAAAGCAAATCCGAAGCCATTTTGGCGTCCGAATCCCTTTTGGACACACATCAGTGTCGCGCCCGCTCGGGCAGACGAAAACCAAGCGCGAGCTCATCGTCTACTTGAAGACCACGGCTCCTCGCGACGTGTTGGCGCCTGGATGAACTCGAAAAAGCGCCGGGCATGCTGGCTTTTGTTGAATTTGCCCATAAGGAAGCCCACAGATGGACTCCAACGCGTTGATTGGAACTCTTGTGACTTCGGCCAACAATTCTCGATTTCTTCTAGGCCCATTCAACAGGTGACATTCCCAAGCTCGAGGTACCTCCGGCAGACAGCGAGTCATACAATCTCAAGGGATCCGCAAGGATGTGCATAGGTGGGGGATTTATGCCCACCTAGGTCCCCAATCCATAGCCAGATTTGTGTATCACCCCATTCAGGGACAAGGGCAGACGAGCTCTAAGTTTCACCAAGAACTGGAGGACGAAGACCAAGCTTTCCACGAGCAATTGCTTCAGGCAAGCATGTCTAGAGTTGTACGTATATATACGTATATATAGAGTTGTGCGTAAACATGGTTGCGTTGCTCTTTCAGGAAGTACTATGACAATCCTGCACACGAATTCCCTCGCGGAAGCTACCTTCCTCAATTTCCAGAACCAACTTGCCCGCGGAAGCACTTATGTAAAGACCTGCTCAGCTGGTGTGTTTTTCTTTTCCTGGCCCAGTTATATCTTTTTTTGACCATCGAAAGCACACCACTCCCCTCTTGTAGGGGGGACGGTATGACTGTCGTTCCATGTCGTTCCTTTTTGCAGAGTCGAAGCTGATTTTGCCTACTGCAGCTACGCTGAAAAGTTGCAGCTTCCCAGCTGCGGCTGCCAAAGCGCTCTTCGCGCACTGGAAAGCTGTTGGAGCTGGAGCGTTCTTTGCCTGCTACTCTTGACTAAAATGCTGCACTTGCGCGAAACTGTGCAAACCAAGGAGGAAACCAAAGGGCGATGACCATTTCCTCAAAGGACTCACTTGCGCTGTGGATGGCTGCTGTCAAGCTGCCAAGCGATGGCGAGAATCTGGTTGCCTTGCGGCATGCCTTGCTGTATGCGCTGTCCAAGAAAATGATGTTTGCGACTAGACATTAACCAATGCTGACTGTGGATCCTATAATGTCAATGATGTAATTTGAATTCGGTCGTCTAGGTGTTTCGTTGCCTTGCTGAGTCAAGACCCTTTGGACGCAACGGCAGAGAGTGAGAGAAAGAGAGATGTTGCGTTCATGCTGTGTGACTCTAGTTGGATACTCCACCTTTACGTCCAGCAACCGGGTCACCGCACACCCCCCCCCGAAGTCGGACGACTCGGCTCAGGCGAAGATGTGCTTACTGGGCTCCGAGAAGAACGCGGTGAAGTCGAAGAGCCTCGAAGTGTTGCTGGAGGCGGCGAAGGACCCGCCGCAGGTCTTGGCTCGTTTGTTGCCTTGTTTCTTGTTTGTTGGCGTTGATTGTTTGTTTGTCTTTCTGTCTGTTTGTTTGTCTGTCTGGCTGTCTATGTGTCTGTCTGTCTGTTTGTTTGCTTGTCTGCTTGTCTGCTTGTCTGTCTGTCTGTCTGTCTCTCCGTTTGCCTGTCTGTCTGTCTGTCTGTCTGTTTGTTTGCTTGTTTGTTCGTTTGTTTGTCTGTTTGTCTGTTTGTTTGTCTGTCTGTCTGTCTGGCTGTCAATCTGTCTGTCTGTTTGTCTGCCTTGTTTGCTTGCTTTTCTCGCTTGCTTGTCTGTTTGATTGTCTGCCTGTCTGCCTGTCTGTCTTGTTTGTTTTCGTGCATGCTAGTTGGTTTGCTAGTCTGTTTGTTTGTTTGTTTGTTTCTTTGTTTGTTTGTCTGTCTGTTTGTCTGTCTGTCTATCTGTCTGTCTGTCTGTCTGTCTTGGTTGCTTGCTTTCTTGCTTGCTTGATTGTTATTCAGTTGTTGCTTGTTTGTTTGTCTGTCTTGTTTGCTTGCGCTATTGCTTGTTTTTTGGATTGCTGCTGGCTTGCTTGCATGTTTGTCTGTTTGTTTGTTTGTCTGTGTGTTTGTCTATTTGTCTCTTTGTCTGGCGTCTTTGGTTGTTCTGCTTGTTTTGCTTGTTTCTTTGTTTGTTTCTTTGTTTGTTTGCTTGTCTGTCTGTTTGTTTGTGTCTTGGTGTTTATGCTGTTTGTTTTGTTTGTTTGTTTGTTTGTTTGTTTGTTTGTTTGTTTGTTTGTTTGTTTGTTTGTGTGTTTGGCTTATTTGTGTCTTTCGTTGTTGTGTTGCTTTGTGTGTGTTTGTTTGTTTGTTTGTTTGTTTGTTTGTTTGTTTGTTTGTTTGTTTGTGTGTTTCTATGTTTGTATGTGTGTTTCTTTCTTTCTTTCTTTCTTTGTTTGTTTCTTTGTTTGTTTGTTTGTTTGTTCCCCCTTTTCATCGATTCTGTCTTTGTCTGTTTGTTGCTGTGTTTGTTTGTTTGTGTTTGTTTGTTTGGTTGTTTGCTTGTTTTGTTGGCTTTCAAAATTATGGATTTAAGGGGGGGCGTGTACTTAAGGGTGGGGCTTTTTTCAGTGTTGCTGAAATCCAATGGTTTTCAAACTTGTGTGTTTTCGAAGCTGAACAGCCCGAAAAGGCTATTTATTTTTGGAACAATGCAAATCCGGACTTGATGTCATTGCCTTGTTGGAGCGTTTGAGACTTACACCCGGCGAAAGTTTTTTTTTTGCATTTTCTGACTCAGATCGCACATGTTGCAAACCAGAGCAAAATCAGTATACACTGTCAGTGGCATTCAGACCAGACCATTTGAGGGAATCAGTTTGTGGGGGGCAAATTATGGATGTAAGCTAATTATCAAGGTCGCCCGCTGCACTTAAGCACGTTTCTGGCGCGTTTAGCCCGATTGAAGCAGGGTGTGAACAATTGGTGAGGATAGACATGTTTTCGGGATTTGGCGATGTCAGCAATGAAAAACGCAGCACATACCCCAGTTTCAGCGCCAGCCTTCGTCAGAACCCCCACGGAAACACCCATGGATCCAAACAATTCACCGCAGCAAGGCCCAATATAAAATAAACATGTACTCACGTGTTTCAAGGTCAAAAAAGGCAGGCCCATACATCAAACAAAGTGGCGTAAGGTGGAACTGAGGTGAATGGGAACATCAACAACTGAGCCCATGTATCAAGAGACGGTGCAAGTTGCTACTGTCACGCACGCATTTATTCGGCTTGCCTTTACTGCGAGACCAGCACAACTTTTGCTCTGCCGGCTTGAGATTCAACATACGCCGCAGCGTAAGTGACTTTTACTTCGGCACAGCCAACAAAAGTTTAGCGCAAGGCTCAACCAACATGCCTTCAGTGCGGCTAAAGGGCGGATCAAACTCCTTAAGAGCACCACCCAAATTTAAGCTATTAACCGGCAGCAAAAGTTGCGTAAGTGCAGCCAAAATTCCCCACGTGCAGCCAACATTTAAGTGAAGCCAAATTTCCTTCGGTGCAGCCAAAGTTCCCTAAGTCCCGGAAAAAATCCTTAAGTCCGGAAAAATCATGAATTCCGGAAAAATCCTTACCGCCAAAATTCCTTAAGTCCAAAAAAATCCTTAATTCCGGAAAAAATCCGAAATTCCGGATTAATTAGCTTAAATTCAGGGGGGGGGGTGAACTTAAGGATTTTGGCATTTGCCCGAGATGAAGTTCGAGGTGAAATTAGTGTTTTTCATTGCCAAAATAACGTTTTGTAGCTTGAAAAACACTACTTTCCGAACTTCATCTCGGGCAAAGGCAAAAATCCTTAAGTTCACCCCCCCCCCCTGAATTTAAGCTAATTCATCCGGAATTAATGATTTTTTCCGGAAAATTGTCCGTTGGCGGGAATGAATTAAGGATTTTTCTGGACTTAAGGATTTTTTCCGGGACTTAAGGAATTTAAGGAACTTTGGCTGCACTTAAGGAATTTTGGCTGCCGGCTAATTAGCTTAAATTCGGGGGGGGGGGGTGCACTTAAGGAACTTTGGCTGCACATGAGGAATTTCCGGCTGCACCACAACAATTTTACTGCACGTGCTAAAGGAAATTCGTCTGCACTCAACGGAATTTGGCTGCACTAACCTTCTTGGCTGGCCGTGCTTATGGAATGTGGCCCGGTGATCAAGGCAGGAGCTCCCCCTTGATTACTAGCTGCCCTGACTACAGCACCATCTCCATACGCTTCGCGCTGAGTCCCATTCTCACAGCCTTCACGCTAAGCTATAAACTATCAACCATCATCCATGCATTCCCACTAATCCTTGCCATCGCTCCCCATTTGGCAATATGTGCCACCACGGCGAAAAACAACAACATTGTGCACTTCTGACATGCGACGTTTTTGATTGCGACACGGCTCGGTCCCACCATGCTAAGGTTGCTCAATGTTTCAACAAAAACTGCTCTTGTCACACAAAGAGCCACCGAATCTTGCAAATTCTGAAAATAAGCAAAGTTTCGTGGTTTCAGAAAGCGGGGCGACTCTCAAGTGCACGGGCCCATATTGTTTAAGGATTTATTGACTCAGCGATTTTGCCCCCCGGGTAATTCAGCATAAAAAAAAAAACGCAACGCAGTGACCCCACAGGATTTGACAGGCTGCCCTTCCAGTAGTGAATTGCTTTGACGAAGGCGTTTGCATCCATTGTTGCTGCCAAATGCACTTTCTAAAGCGCAGCCGGTTTTGGCATTGTTTTCACGAGTGCCCAAAAACAAAAACAAACATTAAACCGTGTCCCGGTTCTGACATGTGCTCCGATCAGAGGTGCAGACACAGGAGCAGGGCTTAAGTGCACGGGTCGGACCTCGAAATTAGCTTAAATCCATAATTTTGAAACCCAACAGCTTGTTTGTTTGTTTGTTTGCCCTCTGTGATTGTTTTTGCTTGCTTGCTTGCTTGCTTGCTTGCTTGCCTGCTTGCCTGCTTGCTTGTTTGTTTGTTATTTGTGTGGCTTGTGTTGTTCGCTGCGTTTCGTTTTGCCTGCCTGCCTGCCTGTTTGTTTGCCTGTCTGCCTGTCTGCCTGTCTGCCTGCCTGCCTGCCTGCCTGCCTGCCTGCCTGCCTGGCTGCTGTGTCGGGGCCTCAAGGACTAAAAGTACCCATTTGCGGGGCTCCATATCCGGCGAATAAGACCACGAATTTACTGGCATGATTTGCCCAAGGGCAGGGCTCAACCTTGACGTTTTCGGATCTGCAAACATCTGGGCCTCGGATTCCAAAGAGTGGCACGCACGTTGCTTGGCATGTTTTTTTTAAACCTGCGGTACAGGTTGAATGGACCTCGCTTGTTTTGGGTTCATGGCACCGCGGGCCTGCCAAATCTTGATGTACTTTCATTTCGGTGTTGGGATTGCACCCCTGGTTGTTGTAAAGGGCAATGGGAAACCACCCCCTAGCCGGCAAACCACCAATCCAAACCACCAATTAGAAAGGATATTGAAATTCTGTACCAAGGCAATCCTTTATAGTGATCAAGCCGAATCACAAAGAAATGGGATGGGAACCAGAAAGTGGGCTGTTCCACTCAATCGCGTGTTCAACTTCCTTCTTGGGACCTTGATGAGTTTTCTTGGCGCAGAAGGCTCACATCCGGGCGTGTTGGGAATCTTCTCGATGGCGAATTGATGAAATTCGACCATTCGTGAAGGTCCCGAAAGAATTACCTCCCTCCAACAACCTTGGGAGCTAACAGGAGGATTTTGAAAAAAACTTCTTTTTTGAAAAGCCCCATGTCCACTGATTGTTGGGAAGAGGGTGCAGTACACTTCTCCAGGCAGCAGAGTCCAGGGTTGAATGGACGGCGATCTCCTGGTTTTTGCGCCGAAGCTGTGTTCTGACCTCCAGCTTGCCTTTTGGCTGACTGGGCCTACAAACCGATTGACTTCTGGGTGTGTTCTTTTTAGGGACCCCAAACAATTGTGGTTGCCATGTTGTTTTTACTTTAAATCCCCCAAAAAGAAGGGGTACCAACTAAAACAACAAGAGACACCCAACTTCTGGGCCGGGCAACAACAACAACTCGGCCGGGCGTTAAACCCTTCTGCTTCTGAGGAGCTGTGGGTCTCGCGCTATGGGGACGTGGAATTCGTGGAGCAGCCGGCGGCGCCGCTGGCGCCAGGGGTGTCGCTTGGAGGAGTTCAGGACGTGCGTTGTTTTCGGTCGCGTCTTCTCTTCGGCGAGTTTGGCTAGAAATAGATTTGGATTCCACTGGTTTAGAAATTGGTTGTGTGCATATATGTATACACATATGGATGGTCCTTCCTCCACACAGCCTTTGCCTCTAGGAGTTGTTGGGTCGCAATGGCAACAGCCAAAATGGGATGATGAAAGCACTGGGAAGAATGGAATTGGGGGAGGGGGGTTCCCCTGGAATTACGTGTGTGGTTCCATCACTAGAGAAATGGAATTAGGGGAGCCCACCCCCCTCCCCCTGAAAGGAAAGACTGACATTGGGGAAGCCTTCCGGCCGCCCAAGAAACACATATTCGAATCTCTGTTTGCATTGGGAGCTAAAGCCAAACCAGCACTCATTTCCGAACCCACACTTGCCAGGAATGGGCTCTTGCCAAACTGGGGATGTGGCAAGGGCTGGTTTCGGCGACCGGAGGATCCTTTTTTTTGACTCCGTCACGAGCCTGACGGAGGCCATTTGGTCTTGTTTTGTTTTTGGGGGGGGATGCCCCTGCTGTGCGGTTTTCCAGGTCAACCAAAAGCAAAATCGGGGAAAGAAAAAACAAAAAACATTTGGAGTGGCAAAGGAACTGGGTTTTGGGCCAATGAAGTGAGAACCTCGTAGCCGCAAGGCATCCTTGCCTTGTGCCGAAGCTGTACATGTCTCATGGAGTTTTGGGCCCTGCATTGGGCGCCGGTACTGCCCAAGACACATGCAGTCCAACCGCAGGGCCTCATCCAACTTGTGTGGACAGGGCATCATTTTGGTCGTGTCGCAGGGGTCAGAATAAATGCCCAAAGATGGCCACGGTTTGTTTCTTGCTGGAGGGTTTTGGGTCATTAATGAACAGTTTTGCTTGGGCGTGCTCCAAAAGGAAGCTTCAACTGGCGGCTATGGCGAAATTATAGGGAAAGGATGAACCATGTCAGTGTTCCCTTGATGAATAGAGGTATGGAAGGGGTGCCGTAGCTTCTCTCGTGGAATTCGGGCTTGGATTTCGTTCAACAGGTTGATGCCACTTCGGTGGCCAAGAACCAAAACCCCTGACGCAGCTTTCGCAACCACTTTTCGGGGTGTGACCCTTTTTTGGGAACCCGTTGCTTGCGTTTGTTTAGGGGAGAGGAAGCCAGCCATTTCAGCGGCTTAGTCATTTTGAGACAACCCCAAGGTGTTAACCCCGAGAAAGAGCTAGGTTTGGGGCCCCCAGTTGTCTTGGGGCATTTGGGTATGCGTCAGGGGTCCCACATGTATATGTGTATATATGTATATATATTTATAGATGTATATATATTTCTGGGGTTTCCCTTTACACCGGCGCGCAAAAGGGTCGCCTCGACAGAACACAACCCCATTCCAAGGGATGTGGGAATCCCCTACCAGGGATGGTGAGCAAAGATTTTGAGACAACCCCATTTTGCTGGCTTGTGGGGAATGAGGGAACGCCCCCCTATCGAGCATTTTGCCGGTTCCTAGCAAATTTCGGAATGACCCCCCTATCAAGCATTCAATTGGTGGTTTCAAGACCACCTTTGATTTTCTACTGCAAGACATTCTACGAGCAAAATCGAATTCGCACGCATTGGGATGGATGAAGCGCCATGAAATAAACCACCAACCGGTGCGAACTTGCTTGTGTGACCATCCGCAGATTGCCCAAAGTGAGGGCACCAGCAATGCATATGTGTCTCATGAAGTAGGGGCGCGCCAATGTTTTTGAATTCGGCTTGCTTTGGGTTCCCTGAACAACCAGCCTGGAAAAAAGGTGCCATCAATCACACACATATTCGTTGCCATTTGGGTAAAGCTTGAAGGGTTTGAGCGGGTGAATCAAATTGGGTGTCCCATGTTATGCCTCACTTGCAGCCAAAGCGAATCGTTCTTTATATATATATATATGAGAGTCGTCCGAAAGGTCCTTGTATTGAGCTATGAAGGGGAAGACCTTTTGGTCTTAGCGTTGACCTTCGCGAAAGTTCCGCGAAGGGGGTCGCGAAAGTTTGTTTTTTTCCGCGAAAGTTTTGTGTGGCTTGCTAACAGGAAGCTGGAGTGATGAACCATGTGTATTTACCGGCAGTGCGCGCAGAATGCCCGCAGACTAAAGTTGGAGAATGCGCAGCCTGAGGGTCGCCGCAAGAATACGCCGCTGCAAAAACAACCCCCAGCCAGCAAAAACCAGCTTCTGGGAGTTTTGAAGCTGTCGGGGCAAGTTGAGCGGAACTTCCAGCCGGATTTTCGCGAATGTTTGGCGTAAGATCCGCGAAAGTTTCGCGAAAGTCAACGGACCTCCCCGCCAGTTTCCGGACATGAGGCCAACGGGTCCTCTCATGCGTAGCTCACAGCTTGTGAGCTGGAGCTGCGGAAGCGCGCTTCGCGTGCTACTTTGGAACTGAAAGCTTGCGACTTTCGAGCTGGGGCTGCGGAAGTTCACTTTGTGTACTACTCTCGTATTGAGAAGTTTGACTTTCGAGGCTGAGGAAGTTTAGTTCGTGTACTACTCTCGTATTCAAGCCGGGCTGCGGAAGTTTACTTTTAGTACTACTTTCGCACTGAAGAGCTGCGACTTTCGAGCTGGGGCTGCGAAAGTGTACTTTGCGTACTACTTTTGTGATGAATGTTCTGAGAACAGCCCCGCGAAAGTTCCGCGATGGGGTCCGCGAAAGTTAATTTTTTTCTCGCGAAGATGGCGGTTTCCGGAACAAGGAATTTCAGACAACCGTCATATATGTACGTATGTATTCACCCGGTTTTTCGGGCATTTTGGCTCATGGCTCTGCATGCTGATCACCTGGTAATTTCTGGGCCCAATCCTCACCATTGCGTTTGGATCAGGCAAGCTGAGACCCCTGCGCCCCTGCGACCCGGGCTGCAGGCTTGAAACCGGTCTCGAAACCGGTTCGGCGCCGGCCCTTCGTGTGGTTCAGTCCGATTTCAAAGAACCGGAGTAATTACTTTTGGGGCCACTTTCGATCCAAGATTAGCAGCTCCACATGACCACGAAAGAAGCAAAATGGCACGCGACCCATGGGTGAGTTGCACGTCCCGCATGGCACGCAGATGCACACAGTTTACTTCCCTCGAATGCACGGCCTGCCAAAACATGAGGGTGTATGAAGCCCTGCACAATCCCCTCGCCGGCCAATTGGGTGCCAAATGGCTCATAAGTCCTCTAAAATCTATTTGCCCCAAAGACAAGCAGAAGGGGATAGGCAATGCTGAAAGAATCCAGACCCCCTTTTTACTTGCTGGTGCTCAGTAAGGAATGACCTGCCGGGTGTTGGGAATGAACCGGAAGGGGATTCCCTCAAAGGAAACCACCAGTTGGATGGTTTATAGGGTCATTCCCTTATTCCGGATTCCCTTAAAGCATACCACAATGCCTGGTTTATAGTGTCATTCCATTTCTCATTCCCAGCTGTGCCCAATGAATCCAATGAACTTGCGACTCACTACCCTCGCCCAACCCAAACTCACCATGCGAGGCTGCCGAGTTGGACAAAGAGGAGTCGATGAACACTTTCGGAGAGGAGGAAGCTGACGGGGGGAAAGGTTATCTTCTTTATTTATGTTTTTTCGTTTATATTTAGCTAAGTGCTTTATATGTATTAGTTGTTTCTTCCTTTCTTCCTTTTGCGTTGTGTATTTATTTGTGTTTCTCTTTTTTTGTTCTTGCAATGTATTTGTTTATTAGTCTATTTGTTTGTTTGTTGGTTGGTTATTGTTTGTTCTTTCTCTGTCTTTCTGTCGTATGTCTCTTTCTTCTTCTTTAGTCATTTATTGGTTTGTTTTGTTTACTGCTTTCTTTCCGGTCTTTCTATATTTCTGCTTGTTTGTTGGTGTGTCTGTCTGTCGAAGTTCTTGTTTCTCTCTTTATGTCGGTCTGTTTGTCCGTTTTTCTTTCTGTATTTATTGTCGAATTTATATATTCAGGTCTTTGAAGATTTGTTTGTTTATCTTTGTCTGTTTCTTTCGTTCGTTCTTCCTTCCCTTCTTTCTGCCTTTGTTTCTGCATTATTTTGTTGGTTAGTTTTTTCTTTCTCTTTCTCGCTGTCGCTCTCTCTCTCTCTCTTTCTGCCTTTTATCTCCGTCGTTGTTTCTTCATTCTCTCTGTCATTATGTTATTCATGTTTGTTTATGTATTTCTTGCGTTCCTTCTTTCCCTCTGTCTTGTTCCTTTTGTGTTCCGTCTTCTGTCTTCATGTTTCATGTCTATCGTTACTTTTTGCAATTTGTTGTTTTGTTCTTTATATCATGTTTGTTTGTTTCTTTTTTTTCTGTACCATGTTTGTCTTTCCTTTTGCTAGTGATCGGCGTTTTTCTTTCTGCATGTGTTTCTTTCGTTTGTTTTGTATTTTTTGTTTTGCTGCTTTCTTCCTTTCTTTCTTTGGTGGCTTTCTCTAAACCAGCTTTTGAGGTTTTTCGGCTCAGAGAGGTCCAACATCTCTAAATTGGATGCGGTCTTGGGGAAATTATCTTCAGCTAGCTCAGGATGAGTTTGGCATATTGGGAATCCAGGGGGTGGTGGTGTTTTTTTTTGGGGGGGGTCAGGGTAGTTACCCTTTTTCTCACTTCCTGGACTTTGAAATTTAAGACCGTTCTAGTGGTAAACAACATTGGGCCTGTTTCTGGCCCATTCACTCAAGTGAGAAGTAAATGGCTGCTTCACAAGCAAGCTTCAGTCACACAACTCCCAGAGGATCACAGAATCTGTCAGTGTCTGTTGGCCAAGGGGATATTCTGAAGGTCGTTCGACTCAACGGCGTTCGGCGCTTGCCAGGCACCTTTGATCGTACCCAATAAGCTCCCACCCGGGCTCCCGGCTCCTATCCTCCCGCTCGAGCCGCCCGAAGAGAAGGCGCTGGGAATGTGGGCGGCGAGTGTTTTCTTCTTTTTTGCCTGGCTCAAAAAGCCAGCCGGTTCCCTAGACTTTTAGAGGTTTCTCGTTGGTTTGGTGGCTGGATGTCCATTTTAAGCCACGAACAGTTGGTCACTTCTAGGGGGCCCCGAGGGCAGCTTGGTACTGTCTCAACCTCAGTTTGAAGACGGTTGGTCCGCGTTCGTGTGTGCTGTGCGGCTCAGATTTGCATCAAGACCTTAGTTTTCACACGCACCAAAGCATTGATTCTTGTTGTTTGCGTTCCCCTTCTGTACTCGGCAGCAAAACTTAATGTCTTGCTCAAGCTCAGAGAGCGAGTGGAATGCTGCCTGGTGGCTTTGGGCTTTGCGAAAAATCGCACCCTGGGCTCGTGATTACTTGACAACTAGGTTTGCAGCTGAGGTGGTATTCCACTTGTCCTCTACAAAAACACTAGGGGTTCCAATTGGAGGGAGCAGATTTGGGCGAATTCAGGAGGTTTGCCCATGGATCTAAAGAAGCTTCGGAAATCGGAGTTCTGGATCTAGAGAAGTATGGGTATGGACCCATAGCCTGGCCTTGGCAAATTCCCTTTCGCAATGCGCGAGGTGGTGCGGAAGGAGCATTCAGAATCCAACTTGTCTCGTCAGGTGGCTTCAACTTGCTTTCTGAGCAGTAAACATCTAGGGTCCGGGTTGATTCCCCAATCCCGTCACTTATTCTTTTGTCACACCCAAGCCACCCATTTTCTTGCGTTGTGGGCGGTTGTCTGTAGAGAGGGATGTGTTGAACAGAATGGGGGATACAGCTATAAAGTTCCTTCGAGGTTTCTTCAGGAATCCTTTCATCCTTCCGGAATCCCGCAACTTCCATTGAAACGAGTGCCCCGGCCACAGGCGGCGGGACAGCCTGCTGTTTCAGTTCCTTCGCCTCCCTTGCCGGAGAAGAAGCCGCGCCTGGTTCCGCCGGGCCTGGTGAAGGAGGTGGAGGTGGAGGAGAACAAGGAGCGTCCTCGGTCGCACGAGTCACCGTGTCACTGGTGGCAGGTCTGGAGACGAATGTGGGCCACTTGACCTGAGCCGGCGACAAACGACAAAGTTTGTTGCAGACATACCCGGGGGGGGGGGGAGGTCCAGGTGGAAAGCAACGGGATAGCCGATTGTTCCAAACCCTTTCATCAGGACACTAAGTGAGGGCAGACGAGCAAACAACTCTTTGCCGGGGATAGGGATGCTCCTCAACCGCAGTAGCCAAGCGCCGTAAAGGTTTCTATGGAAACCATGCTTATGAAAAGGGGGGTCCCTTGGCAACACAGAGCGGCCACAACCATTCATGTATACATTTGCGACCATTCCGGAGGCAGAACAGGAATTGGATCCTGGAACCGCTACTTTTGTTTGAGGGGTTGTCCCGGTGTGGGAAGGTACCACACCAACTCAGTTGCCCCAAAACGAATCGACCTTTTGGACCTTAAGTTTGCCAGTTTGGGTGTGTCTGTTTTCGAGGGTACCCCATTTTGTGGCTGCAGAAAAACCAGCAAAATCCACAATTTTGGCAAACCAGGAATATCCACGATTTTGATGGAATTTCCAGGAAACCCACGACTTCTTTTGGGGGAAGTTAACCAGGACAATCCATTTTGGGGGAAACACCGAGAGAATCCGCCATTTTGAGGGGGTGCAAAGGAAAAAAACAACACACACACACACACACACACGAGCCTCACGAGGCTTTTGAAACCTTTTTCGGGCTGAACAGGAGCCGGAGGAGCCCGAAGGCTTCTTTCAGGAGCGGTGGGTCTGCGGTCTGATTGGGGGCGTTCCCTTTGAGAAAGCCACGGGGTCTGAAGAGGCTCTCTTGCAACCAAAGCGAATCGACCGGAGCTGACCTCGTGGGAAACCCCCCGTTTGGGCCATTTTCAGTTGTGGCCCCAAAAGGTGATCACCTTTGATTTGTGGGTCCTTTAGGGCGGAGGGGGGGGGGCTTGGCTTTGAGACTGCAGGTTCCACTTAGTTCTGTTTTTTTCCCCTCCGCATCCCCTACAAAACCAAGTGAGGAAAGAAGTGCCTTCTCAAAGAACTGGGCCCACTTTTGCGACGAGGTAGGTGATCCATTTGCTCAAGATGATGTGTTATTTCCATTTTTGGTTTTACAGGGAATCTATCACTACTGTCTGTTTCTGTTTGTTTATGTTTTTGTTCGGCTGCCGCTTGAATGTTTCTGGGAAATGTGTTTCCAGGGCTCAAGCAGATGGAAGGTTTAGACGGGGTGAGTTGCCCTGCGAGTTGAGTTCCGTGATGAAACTGCCGAATTGCGACCTAGAGTTTGCATCTTCAAAATCTGGGTCGTGCATCCCAGAGGTGACCATCTTGAAATGGCCCTCGAAACACCAGGCAAAGATTAAGACAAGCCCCAGAAAACCAGACCTCAGGGTGTTTGTTCAGCTTTTTGCCACACTCTTTGCTTAAGTCCCGGAACCCCGTTGGAACTGTTTTCTTTGAGCGCGTGACGTGAGGCCTTTTCTTGTAGGCATTGCAAGGTCTTGGGTGAACGTACTTGTGCACTGAAAGTGTGCAGCGGATTCTTTAGACCTGGTCGTGTAAGGTTGAATGCCCCTATGGATCCTTAGCTGTCAGTGAGTCAGTCACCCCACGCATACAGGAGCATTTCCCTTCCCTTTCTCCAATGGGTTGTTGGGTTCCAGCGATGAAAGTCTTTTGAAATATGTCCTTCACTGTTGGCAAGTTCTTCTGCTTCGTGTTCAACGTGGGCGAACCCAGTTTTTGGCTTGGAGTCTCCTTCTGACCCTTAAAGAATGGGGTCGTGACCCCTTATGAAATTTCTGGATATTTGGGGTACCCCTGTATAATGGGTATATAATTATGACCTTTTTTTTAGGGGTCGGGGAAAGAGACCCCGGGTAGTCCCAGTCGTTTCTTGTTTCCCCCAATTTTCCTTAGCGTCCGATGTTCGCAGGTACCTGTTCCAAGGTACATGTTCGCGCAGGTATTGTTGGGGTATTGGGGTAATCCCTTTTATTTGGGGATATGTTGTGGGGATGTTGACCCTATTTTTTGAGGCTTCATCTTCATTTATTTTTAAATTATCGAAATTATCGACATCTTTTGAACTATCTTTAACTTGTAGATTAAAAACAAAAATAACTAAATAAACCTACAAACACTTGAACAAAAAGAAACAACCACAACTGTACCATTTAGGGTGAATCCAGTGGCGAGTCACGAGAAAGTTCGGAGGCGATGGCCACGGCCCTGGCGCGCTGCGTGCTGGGGGAGCGCCTGTCTTGGTCCACTGGAGGCAACCGGGGCTTGGGCGCTGGCCGACAGCGGACAGCTGTGCTCGGGCTTGGGGGAAGCAGTTCGGGAGAGAAAACAACCCCCCCCCCCCGAAATTTTGTCGGGATTTTGGGAGTGTCCGGATTTTGTGGCGGTCTTTTTTTCCTTTTCAAAACCGCTTTAAACTGGGTGTAGAGCCCCCCCCTCCCCAAATAGTGGATTTTCCGAGAGTTGCCTTGAAACTTGAAAGCTGCGAGCACAGACCCCAATGAGTCCAAGAAGCCCATTGTGAGGGGCTCCCATGCCTTTTTTCTTGGGAGCTCCAAACGGAGGGTCTAACAATGCGTGGCCTGGGATTCAAGACGGAAACCGCATGGAACAGCCAAAAATGGTGCAAATTGCACTGCATGTGATTCATTTGGTCGCTTCTGAAAACTGCCCCACTAAAATCAGTGGTTTTCTTTAACCTTCCTGTGTTGATAAGCACCAGGTTGGAACAAAAGTGGGGCTTTCCATTTCAGAAAGAATCCGGATCACCTTTTCTATTTGTTTTTGGGAGGACACTCTCCGAACTATGCACCCGCCGAGTTTATGAATCCGGGGTTAGCCTGAAAAGGATAATCATTTCGACAGCTGCCAGTAAGAGGGGGGTTACTCATATCGGAATTTGCGGAAACCGCTTGGAAACTGCATCGGTCTTGAGGACTTTGGCCTCTTAAACTGACGGTCCTTCAGAGCTTACCAAGGGACACACTTCCGTGGAAAAGCGGAACCCACCAAAAGCGCACGAAGTCTTTGGAGATCTTATTCTAGTTGTACTTGTTGATGGTTCTTTGCACCAAGGATGATGGAAAAGCCTTCAAAAGGCCAGCTTTCCCTGGAAGCGACACCCATTTGTCCCCTTTCCGCAGCCGAACGAAGCTATGGACCCCTGGTAACCCCCTGCTACCCCCTCCGCGGACCATGTCGAGCTATAAGGATCTAACAGCCAAACAATTCCTCTATGACCATGCATGACAAATGTGTTTTCAGAGTACCCCACAACCCCGCTCTAATCAGACCCGGCGAATCGACCTTTTAACCTTTTGGCTTTCCCATTTTGGGAACCATATTAAAAAGGTCATGGCCCCAAAAGGTGATCGATCACCGGTTTTTTTCTGGGTGCAGCCTGGTTGCAGTACTGAGAAGTTTGTTGGGTTTCCTGCAAAACGCCAGCCACTGTTCCGCCCTCGACTGCCTGTGTTTGCCGCCCACGGCCTCGGCATGCCTCACGCCTCGCCCTGCGCCCTCGGCCCTCGGCCCTCGGCCCCGCGAGGCTTGGAGGTGGGTGAATGGCCCCAGCCCAGCGCACGGCCCTTGAAGAGCCCTGCGCTTACTCCCGGCTCCTGAGGTCAGATTTGTCGTCCGTTGGCCATTTGCGTTCTCTCCAGTTCGGCAGGAGTCATGCCAATTCAGCAATGGGCGTTCCATTTCTTGCGGCAAGTTTGATCCACTTGCCTGCACTTCTTGCTGGGGTTTCTGCGTTGGGTGAGCTCCTGGACCCGTCGGAAGTTAGCGCAAAAAAAAGGGGCGACGCGCTCTCGACGCTGGAAAGCGCGTCGCCCCCCTCCGAAGCCCACTTCTAAGAAGTTCCGACGGGGCTCGAAGGAAGTTGAAAGGTCTATGTTCAAGTCACTAGAAAAATGATAGAGAAATGCCTAAGGTTTGAAGAAGAGCCAGGCCATGTCGGACGAGGAGGGGCTGGCTTCTGGCTTGTGAGACTGCTGGATGAGCTGTTCGGAAAGGGAAACGCCAACCCAAGTTCTTCTCCCATGGAGAGTTGCAGGTACCTGGAGTCTCCTTCTGACCCTTAAAGAATGAGGTCGTGACCCCTGGAAACTTTGGGTAGTGACCCCGGTTTTTTTAGGGTCAGAAGGAGACCCCTCAGTCGTTTCTTGTTCCCCCCCATTTTTCCTCAGCGTCCGATGTTCGCGCAGGTACCTGTTCCAAGGAAGATAGAGGGGCCGCCTGCCAATGGCTCACAACGTCTGGAAGATGTTTTGTGGTGCTTTCCTCTGGGGGAAGTGTGGCGTCCCTTCAGAGGGGAATTCGAGGATAGCCTCCCACCAATTAACATGGAACAGGGGTCCCCTGTAAAAGGAACATGGTCCAAGCGAGGACCCCCCCGAAACGTCAGGTTCCATGTTCGTTGGATTTCATCCAAATCGAGAACCTCAATGGGTTTTCGTTCCTTTCACCTTCCCGCTTCACCAAGCCCACACAACAGTTCAACTTGCTTGGAAGGGAGCGAGCCGTTCCGTTGCGGATTTGTATTTCCAACTTAATTCCCCGAAGCTTAAGCTAACTAGCTAGGAGTTCCGACGCTGGCAGATGTGGGCGTAACTTCGAAGATTTCGGGCGGCATCCTGTCAGGAGCGCCTGACTTTGGCGAGGCTGGACCACCAGAACGCTGTTGAGCCCTGCGTGGAGTTGAGAGGCTGGGGGGGTAGATCATGGCGACTGAGCGCCCAAGTGCCCCCCCCCCCCCCAAACCCAAGACCTTGCATTTGCAGAAGAATATGTTGGCTATGTTCCCTGGATTTTAAACGTGTTAAAGGGAATCGATCACTGGAGATATGTTTTCCAGCTGCAGCAAATAGAAGATAAAGGTCAACTAGGTCCCCCGGTAGTGCCCTTTTACCCTTTTTTGGGGGAGGGTTCCCCCACTAAAATAGGCTACAAAAAAAAGAGGGTACCCTCATTCTAACCTCTCTACTGGAGGACCTACTTAATAGTCAATAGCGACTAATGCTAATTGGGGCTTCCAACTCTCCTCTTTGGGAGGCGGGGGAGGGGGACCGGGGTGCCCAGCGCCTGTGGTTCCAACCCTCCGGCCATAAGTGCCCCTTTTTTTTCCCATGTCCACTGAAAGTTTTGGTTGCCATGGTAGGCAACCAGGTTCCCATGTTCCCATGGCAGGTAGCCAGGGCTTAAAGCTTATGGCTCGAAGCCGCGGAACGTTTCTCAAGGCGTGATGGTCATCAACGAGACTTGAGACAACCAAATGAGGTGGGCCAACATATTTCATGACTTGTCAGTTGATTGAGAGGGACCACCACCAAAACACAAGCTCGAAAGACTTCCCCACAAAAAGCCTGGGGACCCACAGGCGTTCCAAAGTGGAAAGTCTGGTTATGAAGCCCCCTACGTTTCGCTCCAACGGGTACCAGACAATCCGACCGGCCGGTTCGCACAGACAGAAGGATCCAGAAGGAATTTTATGTAGCAAGAATACCAAACCGTGTGGCCCTTAGAGACAAACAACACACGCGGAATGCCTCGTGGAAGATGACTTGGTGCTTGCCCATAGTATGTTTTCTTTTGCCCGAAAGGAAGCCCCCCACTTGTTGCTAATGTACCCACACCTTCCTCAAGTTTTCCAGACACTGCACCTCCCCCGTCCATTGACAGGAACTAAGTTGGAAAACGGTTTTTCAGGAACCCTTTCGCATCCCCACCCCCTTATATATGGAATTGGGGGGCCTGGAATTCCATTTGTTGTTCCTCCTCTTCCTTTTATGGGGGAAGACTAGTGACCAGACAAAAGGAATTGAATGCCACCCACCCCCCTCCTACTGGGTTGCAATTCTTGGGCGCCAAGGGCCACCGGTCGATCGCTCACCTGGGAGTCCGAAAGCAGGCCCAACACGAGACAAACTCGTCTAGGTCCCCCAGTAGTGCCCTTTCTCACCCTTTTTTGAGGGAGGGTTCGCCTACAACAAATAGACTACAGAAAAAAAAGGTGCCCTTTATTCTGACCTCTCCACTGGAGGACCTAGTCGTATTGGGGCAAGTGAAACCAATCAAAACACCCAAAGACCAGATCCGAGGATACAGACCCTAAGGTGGATTGTAACCTAGGAGCCGAGTGCGCAACCGGAATCTTCAGATGGGGCAACTGTACCATCTTGACAGCCATCGTCGGGGTTCTCTGAATCCGAATCCAGAAAGCCAAATCAGGAGTCTGCATCGCAAGGGCTGTCATGGAACCTGCCAAATGCTTCCGCGTTCGGGAGCCAACGGAAGGGGCGAAGCTTTTCCAACAGGCCTCGAAAAATCTTCCAATTCTTCTCCTCAGGGTTTCGAGATAGCCAAAGGGCAACATAACCTTCCAGCACCCCCCAACTATATGTCAGTAGAGTTGACACCTGCAACTAGAATATAGGACGGTAGGGTGTGGGGCTGGGGGGGTAACCATATATATATATATATATACACATATTCAGTGTTTAAAATCTAAAATCCCAAGTCCCAACAATGGTTCGGGGCTCTTGGCTTGCGCTTCTGCTTTTTTGAAACCGGGTGGCTTGTTGACTTGAGCAACCAGGCTGCATTTGGGGGGGTTTGGCCCCCCGAAAAAAAAGTGATTCGCAATAGGGAGCCATCGGAGCCCGGAGGAAATCACCACCAAAAACTTGGGGTCTACACAGTCTTTCCCTTGAAACTGGTTCTGTTTTGGCGGTTGTGCGTCTGCCTTCGGTTGTGTGTTGTTTGTTTTTCATGCAAAAGTTGTTTCTTTGTTGTTCTCGTTGGACAGGGGGCTGAGCTTCCTTGATTTTCCGCCTGGCAGGCACAGCTGCACCTCCTGTCGCGCTCGGGGCTGAGATCTCGCGAGGAGTTGGCGGAGCGATCCCCAGGTGTAAGGTGGAAAACATAAGAGCTCGCCTCGCAGTCCTATTTATGGGTTTGGTTGGTTAGAAATAGTCCGGATTTATTCCAAGGGTTTGGAAGAGTCCTGCTTCAGTTTGGTTAGAAAGAATCCTTTTGGGGTTGTTTTGGGTTTGTTTTGGGTCCCACGGGTTTCGTCGGGATTTGTATTCTATTGACCGGCCGTGCTTTTGTCCAAAAGGTCACCGGGTACTCCCGGGAACCCCAAAACCCCATCCATAGAGGAGGAAATGACCCCCCCGGTTCCATGTTAATTTGTAGGGGAGTACCTGAGGATTGCAAAGCTGGGTTGTTGTAAATGTTTGTAGAATCACCCCTGAAATCGATTCTATAAGATATCCCGCCTGAAGCAAGGAGGTATCCGGCAGTTTTTCATACTCGGGACGGCTGATTTCTGGGCCACCCAGCCTGAAGGCAGACACGGGCGGTGTGCGAGCCCTTCAACTTTCTTGTTTTTCCATTTGCGCGCGAATACGTTGTATTTTCCCCTGTTGGTTAAAACAGGGACTTATCACTGCTGGAAAAGTTTTGTTTTTTGTTATTATTATTATTTTACAGGTGTCTTAACCAAATGGAAGCGTTGTATGTTCCCCTCTTGGTTTTACAAGGAATCGATCTCACTACTGGAAATGTGTGTACTTTCTTCCACGGAGCTAAAGCAAATGCAGGTTTTGGAGGGGGGTTCAGTTGGCACCGTTGGCAGCGTTGGACCCTTGGAAAGCCAGAGACAGTGGGCATTACGGGACCCTTTGGGCATGCGGGGTCCAGCCAGTGCTGTTGTGCCCTATTCATAGCCAGTTACTGTCACCTACATGCTCGGGCATGGGCCCGATGTTTTGTTGGCACCGGGTCGGGTACCTTGGATTGTTCATTTCAGATAGTTGGGTTGGACAGATGTGTTTGCCAACATGCCCCTCAGACCCGGACAGTTCCCACTGGGGCGCGCCATGTTGCCATGTCTTTGGCTGCGCTGGGGCAAAAGTTGTCACGGCGAAGATGTCCTGATGGGTAAATAGTTCCTTTCGGAGAAATGGCTGTGGGTCAAAATTAAGCAACTAGGGGACCGCAGATTTTAGTTCATGTTTCCATTTGCCAGGTTGAATTGTGGGTACCCCCCATTCTTGACCCGGAGCCAAATTGGTCTCACATTTTTAGTCCCCACTTGGGACGCCATGGTAACTTTGTGACTTTGTGGCTCACATGTCGCCGCTGCTTGAACCATGTTTTGGGCTTTGGGAAGTCGGAAGTCCCCGCACGCCAGAAGGCAAGCACCAATGTTCAACAATTGACATGTTTCATGGGGTGGCTGATTAATAAAGCCAAACAGCCGGCAATAAACATGCCAAGGGTTTGCAAATTCATTCCCACACAATCTTATCAACACACGCTTTGGTGAGAGCATCAGCACCTTGATAGTGTGAGGGACATGCAACAGAATTAAAACTCCGGCAGCATATCGTTTGTTTGGCCATGATATGTCAAGCCATTGAGTTCTTGACATACTTCCCCCGGTTTGTGCGAAGCCTTAGGGAAAAGAGCCGGGGGTACCATGAGGACTTAGCCGGAGCATTCCTTCCCATGTGCCTGTGCGAGTCTCCAAGGTTTCGGGGGGCGACCACGCAAGGGCAGAATAATTTCTTATCAGTTGATCATGAACTTTTTGGGGAGAACATGATTTACCCCTATCCTGACTTGTTTGCCTCCAGGCCCATAACCTCATAAGGCAAACTCACTCCCTAAGTTGCTGGGTTTTCAACTTTTGAGGCTTGGACCAAATCTTTTCGTGGCAAATCAGTCACTTCCATTTGCTCAAGAATATGTGTTTATTTTCCCCCTGTTTGAAACCGATGTCACTACTGCACATATGTGGTATTTTCCCTTTTGAAGGCGGCAAAGAAGTCAAGTCGAGGCGGCCCGGAGCGGAAATTCTGCAAAACTCGAGGCCGAGGCCGGAGCACTTGGAGTCCTGGGACCGCCGGGCGGAGCACCCGGTGAAACCCGCGGAGCTTCTCGGCGCATTTTTTTGGAGCCAGCGGGGAAGCCGCTTCGAAACCGTTGGCAAACTGTGGTTTGACCATCAAACAACCTGAGTGCTTCATATGCATAGGGCTCAAACAACCAAGGACAAGGCTTTTTCCTCGTAGCACATCCTGTTCGCACATGGATGGAAGAGTTCCACAAATCCAGAAACAATGTTCTGAGACTCGTCTTCAATCTCCCCCAGCTAGGTGTCCTCTTACCGTTTCTTTTTTGGTTGGGAGGGTTCCCCTACTAAAATGGACTGCAGAAAAACAATTTGGCACCCTGATTCTAACCTCTCTACTAGAGGGCCTAGTAGAGGAAATGGGAGCGAGGATGTCCAAAGAGTTTCCTTTGGCTTTAAGAACCCTCAATACCCACACTCACCGACTCACCGGTCCAAACCACTGTGGGTTACACCCCGAGTGAGTGCTTTTTCCTTTAGCGGCTTAGCTGGTTGTGGCGAACTGGTGTTGCTGCGGATCAGGTGTTCTCGAGTTGTCCCAAAAGGAAAGCCAACAGGGGATGGGTACCGGCAATTTTCCCCAAGCTGTTTGACATCCAGGTGCCACCATGGCACCCCGAAACTGCCATAGAAATGGACAACTCAAAAGGAGGGCGGGGGCTGGGCCAGGGATGCCCTCGATGCAAATCCCTCATAGAAAGTAGTCATAGGGATCGGAGTCTCTCCCAAACCCCCCTTTCCGGGGGCTTTGCTGGTCCAATTCTTCTTTTGCCTCTTCTCTGGCCTTTCCGTGTTGTGGCGGCTTTCGAAATCTTTTCCCAAGGTCGCACCAATGAAAATTACACAATCCCAACCTCTGACTTTTGATCTATCCGTCACAAGGATGAAAGTGCGCCTGGCCCTTTTCCACCATGAACCCTGCCTCCAGAATGGTTGTGCTAACACTTTAAGGTCACTGAAACACATCTCAATCTTTTCAGAAGACGTTTCAAGGGAAGTCTTAGACGCCCCTAGAAGGTTTAAACGGAACCGCCCCAAAAAGCCTTCTTTACCACTTGCCCAAATCCTGCCACTTTTTGCGGGGCCCTGGTCCATTTGCCTGAAGCTTAAGGGAACGCCAAAGGAAATCAATTGAATGGAGATCTCGCTGCGATTTTATGCAAACAAGTAGTTCAAAGGAAAACAGTCATTCTGCCAATGGGGATCGTTAACTTGGGGGGTCCAATTCTTTTGTTTGGTGTTTGGCTCAAATCCTGAGTTCATGAACTTTAAGCTTTGTGGGAAGACCATTTTAGTGGCAATTCTAAAGTTTGATTTTTTTGGGCCATTCCACTCAGCCGGTGTGTTGGACATCTTGTAGAACTGGCTTCCCACGTGATTGGACTGTATGCTTTTGGGAAGGCAAATTTAGATGTAAACCAAAGGCGCGCGCTTGTTTGGGGCCATCCGAAGGGAGAACCTAAACACATGTGAGGGCCAGGTTCTTGGCTGCGTGGTTGGTCGAATCGGCCAAGTTTGGAGGGGTTGCCCGAATATAAGTGGTTTCGCAATTGTAGTATACCTGAAAAGCGCCTTTTGGGAGCCTTGCTTCCTTCCCTAGTTTTCCTGCAGCAGGCGGCATGTTCAAAAGCAAGAAAATCCGCTTTGCAGGATTGTCCAAGATGTCATGACAAGTGCTCGCAAATTTGAAAAGGGCTCGCAGAAATGAACAAGAATGTGTTTATGAAAAAGCACTAATTTGACACACAATGGAGGTCTTAGGCTTTCTTCGCTCTTGTTGACATGTGCCTTATTGTGTAAATTTGTCTTTTGTTGTTTTGGTTCTGATCGTCAGTAAAGTTTCGTTGGGGACTGCAACAAAAACATACCAAACACTGTCAAGAGCTTCCAATCATGACATGTTATTTTTATTTGTTTGTGTGTGTGTTTTTTCAAAGTAGCTTTACAACGCCTTCTCACGATTTAGCCGACGTGTTTTTGTTTCTTCCCAGGATGGTTGCGGCCATGCTCATGCCGGAGCCCATCCGAACCACGCTGCGGTGAGTCGAACGCGAAGTCACCAAAGCTCCCGGCACGTTTGCCCCAGGCCGCTGCATTGTTTTACTCAGGTGTCATTATTTTGGCTGTGTCTGAGGGGTATCAAAGTCAGAATATGGGGTTGTGTCAGTTGTGTCCCTTTTGCCTACCACTTGGGGGGTGGCTTTGATCATGGTAAAATAATGAGGCCGGTTACTAGCGGTTGTTTGGTTGGATGGAACGGGCAGCCGAAGCGATTGGTGGGGCTCCCTTGAGCCGCCTTTTGCTCCAAAAGTGACAGTTAAATGGCTATGAGTCAAATGAGATTTAACTTCCATTTGCTTGAGTATTTGTTATTTCCCCTGTTGGTTTAAAAGGGAGTCTATCACTAGTGGAAGTGGTTCCTTTTTCCGGGGGACTTAAGTAAATGGGTGTTGACTGTTGGAACCACTCGTGCTTTGTAGACACTTTGACCCCAAACGTGCACCATTTCGAAATGGTCTTCTGAAATTCACCCCCAAGGGCCCGAAACAAATGGAGGTGTGCCCTTTGGTTTGCCTTGTGAAGGGGGTACGGAGCGAGTGTGGCATACCGGTAAGCCCTTTGTTTTTAGTGAAGATACGAGCTGCAAATATCTTTTGGCCTTGGAGATTTCGTGGGTTTTGCCTGAGCTTATGGAGCTGAAAGGCAAGCGAAAGGCCATGGCCTAGTCCCGCAGATGCGCCACACCGCGAATGGAATCAGCCTTCGTAAGGTTGCAATTCTCTCTCTACCCGGGTCAATGATTAGCAACCGACCAAGTTCCATTCTGGATGTGGCAAACAAAGTGTAGATACTTTTGTCATCAACCCATGAAGTTGGTTTTAGAGACCTTCCACGCTCTTTGAAAGTGCATCATGAAAACCCCTCTGGGCCCCATTCAAAAGAGGACCCTTCACTCTTGGGACAGGCAGCCCCATTTATTTGGATGTGTTCATCGACCTAGGTTCCGGCCGCCAAAGCATGGGCAGCATCCGCAAATAAAGTAAAATAACGCTACTTTATAACCATTTTCCCGGGCCCCAAAGGGTATCCTCAACAAAAGAGACACCAAGATGGGTTCATATTTTCTTGTTAGACCCCATTCAAGGGCTACGCCTCTCATTCGTACGTGCGCATATGCCCAAGTCGCGCCACGCGACGCTTGTAAGAGACCTGCTGAAAGGCGAGCTTGCCGCTGATCCAATTCTTCCGGGGAATGTAGAATTGCAGGTTCTGATCCCAGCTAGGGAACCCTCATGGGGGTCCTCATGGCGCGCCTCATGGGGGTCCTTCGCTTTTTGGGGAGACGCTTGCGGAACCCCACTTTTAAGCAGCGCCGGTAAATTCATGGCGCGCGCCTTATGAAATTCCTTGGCTTTTTGGGGAACCGCTTGCCTATTCATTTGATTGGTTATGTTGGTTAATCCGGGGTCGACATGTTGTTGATTGTTGCTAGGGGTTGCCGAAGTAAAGTCGGACACTGGGGGGTAGTGTTTTCTCTTTCGCCTGCGAATCAGGATTCACTTTCACAATGCTAAAAGTGACGGGTGGCCGAGTAGATACATTCATAGTTTTAGTTTTTTTTTTTTTTTTTGAAACCTCATGTTAACTTCCCTTTTTAGCACAAGCTCGCCAGTCCGCCAATCACAAGAAGTTGTTTGGCGCTCGGCTTCGTTCCCGGATTGGAATCCGGCCGTATGAGGTGGTGCCATTGGGGCAAGACTGACTCTCTCAAATTCGCAAAGGGCTGAGATCGAGGACATGAGAGCGAATGAGACCTCGGAACAGCTGCGGCTCCGTTGTCGCCTTTGCATCTCCAACATCCTTTTGCTTCGAAATCCAAACTTTGATCTGTTTCTAGGCGCCCTGAAAGATGTACCTCTTTTGTTTGTATTTTGGCTTGTATTTTTGTTTGCTTGCAAAGCTATGCTTCACAGAGTTGGCAACATATTTGATATATACATATATATATATATATTAGCAACTGCGTTTCTATGTGCCACACTGGACCGGAGGTCATGGGTTTTCATGTTGTCCGTGTTTATCCATTTTGCCCAGCTCACTTTTTGCAGGGATCCACTTATGTCTACTTTGGAACGGCCAGATCGAAATCATCAGCCGCGCCAAGGGCACCTCCTGTGGCCCGCAACTCGCTTCCTTCCATTTGCTGGAAAAATGTATATTCAAAAGACAAGTTGTTGGTTTTAAAGGGAATCGATTTCACTACTGGACATATTTTCTCAAGTTTTCCCCGGGGGCCTAAGCAAATGGAGGCTTCTCTGCGCGCCGAAAGTGGCCAATGGCATGGGAGACCATTGGGCGTCATCTTTCGATTGGCTTCGCAGCGCTCAATCTGAACTGTGCTCTTCGACTCTTTATTTCAAAAGCACACTGGGCTTAGGTTTGGAGTCAGGTAGCTGTCAATCGATGGTTTGGAGTCTGTGGTTCCAATTGGTTCGATCACCTCTGGGCACATCTTTTGACGTTTGTGGATCCCCAAGACGAGACCGTCGCCTTGTGGAGGCCAATGGTACTGAGTTTTTTTCTTGACTGCTCGCTTGGATTTTCCGCTTGTAACTTGATGTGCTTCTCGAAAAAGCAAAACGTTACACTGTTGTGCAGTGGGTAGTATTTGTTACGTTACGCATGTTGTGCGGAAATGTGTTGCAGATTGTATCTCTGCCTATTTTACCTCGAGCTCACTGTCCATGGGTAAAACCGAGCTCACTACTATGGAGGTCCTTTTCTTGAAGATCCCAGTGTTGCTTCCGGCTGTACATGTTTCATGACGGAAAAACGACCTTTGCGTCGATAGAAGTTGGGGTTAAATAGTAGGGGGGGAGAGGAGAGGTGGGCGGGCAGGGTCCGCCCCAGATGATTTGCAGAGCGTGTTTCGCACAAACATCGCACTAGAAGACTACGCGCAATTACTTGGCCCGTTATGATACTTGCGGATGCCGCCAGCGTGCTTGTTCCGTTGGTTTTGCTTTCAATCCAAGTCCTTCCCCTAAAAGCCTTTAGTGTCAAGAATCGGTTATGGCTTGGGGACTTTTGCGCAGTTCTTGGGGGTGCTTCACGCACCTTGGCGCAGATGGTACTGTCGACCCCGGATTCATAACATCCGATTTCATCCGATTTATAGGGCGTGCTCCCACCCAAATGTGAAGGATTCCGTCTCAAACAGGATGCACATGTCCTACTCAATCAACCAGAGGTTTAATTTGCCGTCCTGGGTTCCAATGAGGACCCTTTGAAAGAAACCCACACCTGTTTGTTTGGCTTCTCCAGAGAAGGTGAGATTCCCAACCTCTCTTTCCCAAAGCCAGTTTTTTTTGACCTTGCAATTTCCCCCTTTTGGTCCACCCCACAAAGGATGAGCAGTCTATGGGGCAACTGAACGGCATGACATGGATGACTAGGTCGCAAGTGCTCCAGACATCTTTCCGGCTCGGCCCGGGATCCAGAAACGTCTCAACCGCAACGCGCACGCAAAACGCACGAAGCCTTGCCGGGTCGAGGTCCAGACTTTGGAACTGGCAAATCCGGGGGGGGAGGGTTGAGGGGGCTGAAAAAAGCGACAACCAGGGCTGTTTTGTTGTTTCGTGCAAATTTGCGGGCTTGGTCCAATTGGTGTGCGCCGAATGGGTCTTTGTACGAGTGCGAGCTTGTTGTTGTTTTGCTTTTTTTTGGGGGGGAGGGGTTGTGGGGGAACCGTCATCCTTTCCACGAAGATCGCCCTTTCCAGAAACCCAGCCAAACACCGCATCACTTTGATGTGGGAAAGAGACGCGCGATGCTTGAAGGCGAAGCTACACTGCATGCTACTGCCAAAATCGGCATAGGACAAAAGTCTAGAACACCATCTTTCAATGATTCATCTATTGCAAGATACTTAACATGTTTTGATGCAACATTCCAGCCGAGACCGTTGCCTTCTTCCGGCAATCTGCTGTGTTTGTGCTTCGGCGCCAGGACGACTTGCCCAAACGGCGCTTTCGGGGATCACTGCATGGCACAAAGGTTTGGGCCAGCAGGTGAAACGCCTTGCTTTGGATGACTGAAACTCCCCTATCCCCCCTACCTTCAGGGGCCAGCGGGTGCTGGTAGTCCCCAAGTTCCATGTTTCCAGCCCCCCACAAAAGCAGAGGTCGAAGCATCCCCGTACTAGCGTCGAATCCAACCTCTGTGAAACTTGCCACAAGTTGTCCCATCTCAAAGAGATCCAAAGTTGATGGAAGCTCACAGGATGGCCTGTGCAAACTCCACAGAAAACATTGGGTACCAACATATTCTAACCTCTCTACTGGAGGACCTAGAAGGGCGTTTTGTCGACACGCTCCCCAAAATCCATGGCAGACATGGAAGGCCCGATAGAGCTCAGGTGTGCTAGCCCCATCTCACTGCCGTTGACTCCTTGGGGCGGGGCGGGGAAACCACAAGCAGATGGGTCCGTCCTCTGTATTGACGGACCCTTTTCTGTTTAGTGGTGTTCAAAAGGACATCACAGAGGACACCGGATTTGTTTTGTTTGTTTTTTTGGGAGGGGGGTCCCCAAACAAAAAGACATGTCCAGATAATTGCAAATTCGGTCCTTTGGTCTGAGGGCCCGCTCGGGAAGAAGGATAAATCCTGAACACCTGCTGTGGCTAATTTTCGAAGGCATGCATTGGGCTCAGGGTTCATGCTGGTTTTGGGGTTGTCTTGTGGTGGTTTAGGGTGGATTAGGGTGGGTGTAGGGTGGGTTTAGGGTGGTTTTAGGGTGGGTTTAGGGTGGGTTTTGGTTTAGCATGGGTTTAGGGTTTTGGGGTTGAAGTATGGCGGGTTTGGAGCTGGCGTTGGTTTAGGCTTGGTTCGGGCTGAACTGTCCCCGCCCGAACCTTCACCGCAAGGCACGCGCTCTCGAAAACGCGATTCAATCCCCGTGAACCGACGCCCTTCAAAACTAAGGCTCTTAACTTCCGGGGGCACCGGTTTTTCCAAAGGCAAGTTCACCATGCAAAAGGTATGCAAAAAGAAACAGGCCCACCTTGTTCCCTCAATTTGCATGATCTGGGGCATCAACTTGACAGGCGCATGTTTTTCAATCCTGTGGATTGCTCTGGGTTTAAGGTTGATTTCTGGCCTAGCTGGGAGGGTTTCCTACAAAAGTACGCAGGCGCAGGCATGTTTGCCGACCCTGGCGACCAGTTAACGTTGCTTACCGCCTGAAAGAGGCGGTGGCTTGCACCACCGAGACTGGAGGGGGGGGCAAGCCCCCAACCGCCCCCAACCGCAGTCACCACGTGTGTGTGTGTGTGTGTGTATTTGTTTGAGGCTACACTTGGTTTGGATTGGTTCAAAAAGGAGTTGAATTGGAAAGCCAAAAGTTTTCAGAGCTTTATCAGACACACATAAAGGTCATGCAAATTCTGATTGAAACTCCTTCCAGTGCCCGCCAAAGTTTGGACTTCGCATCTTCTTGGGCCCCGGCAAGAGATTTTGCGAGCTTGCGCCGGGACGTCGGTTCGTTGGGCTCAGCATAGATTTCCCCTGTTGTGGGTATGGGTCAGAATCTAACCACCAGGAATCGGACCGCAGGTTTTGCTCCATGTTTCCACTTAGGGCCCATTTCTGGTACCTATTTTTGACCCACCGCCTCGCTTCTGGTTCAACTCGCTTTGCGAGTTGTCCATCCTATTTCACCTTCAAAAGGGGAACTCTATGAGCCTGATGAACCGAATCGAA